TTGATTTTAGCCATTCTGACCGGTTTAAGATGGTATCTCAGAGGTGTTTGAGTTGCATTTCCCTGATGGCTAAGGATGTTGAGCACTTTAAGCGTCTTTCAGCCATTTTAGATTCCTCTATTGAGAATTCTCTATTTAGTTCTGTACCCCACTTTTTAATTGGATTGTTTGGTGTTTTCGAGAATAGCTAGCTTAAGTTCATTTTATATTTTAGAAATCAGCCCTCTGTCAGATGTGGGGTTGGTGAATATCTTTTCCCATTCTGTGGGCTGCTGATTTGTTGACTGTGTCCTTTGCCTTACAGAAGCTTCTCAGTTTCAGGAGGTCCCATTTATTAACTGTAGATCTCGGTGTCTGTGCTACTAGTGTTATGGAGAGGAACAGAGGAGAGAAAAAAAAGGAGATATCTTGATAGAAGGAGCCAGTTTATGTTTAGAGTGAGGTCTAGCACTAAGGAAATGTTCAGGGATCCACAGGGATGACCCTAACTAAGAATCTAGGCAGTAGTGGAGAGGCTGCCTTTGAAATGCTCTTCCCCTATAATGAGATTGATGACTACCTTGGTTGCCATCCTAGAGATGTCATCCAGTAGCTGATTGAAGAAGCAGGTACCCACAGCTAAGCGCTGAGCCATATTCCTGGAATCCATTTGTTAAGAGGGAGGCAGGATGAGCAAAACAGTCAAGACCATGCTGGAGAAACCCACAGAAACAGTTGACCTGACCTAGTGAGGGCACAGAGTCAAAAAGCTGGGGAACCAGTATTGGACGGAACCAAGTCCTCTGAATGTGGGTGCCAGTTAGGAAGCCTGGGCAGTCTATGGGACCTCTAACAGTGGAGCCAGTCTTTATCGCTAGAGCACAAATGGACTTTGGGAGCCCATTCCCTATGGAGGGATACTATTGCAGCCCAGATACACGAAAGAGGGCCTAGGCCCTCCCCCAAAGGATGTGACAGACTCTGATGATTCCCCCGTGGAAGACCTCACTCTCCGTGGGGAGTAGGAACTGGGATTGATATATAAAATAAGAATTAATAAAAAAAAGTTTTATGGTATTACTGGTATAGATTCTAAAATGCCCAAAATCTCCTGCAGCTCACAGTCATGTCAGTAGGTGGCACTTGGGATGTGGCTATTGTTCCCTGGCTCATGGTAATAAGGCTCAGCGTAAAAAATTGCAGAATGGCTGTCAGCCACTTAGAAAATTCTGGAAGTGACAAAGGAAGGTGCATTTCAGGAATGCCACATCACCAACACCACCGTACAAAGGATGATGAAACTGCTTGGGAAAACATAGACAAGGGCAACTCTGGGTCAAAAGAATGACTCAGAATGAGGGCTCACAGCCAAGTTCTAGGAATCTCTCATCCTTCTCATGGTATATAAACTGTGATAAGAGATTAGAAACATCAAGTTCCAGGTGTGGTGGGACATGCCTTTAACCCTAGCACTAGGGAAAACAGGGCTACAGACCTACTGAAAACTCGTCTCAAAAACCCAAATCTGTCAGAAAACATTCAAAATTTTCAGTAATACAAAAATTCTAAGTGGGGCCTGGAGAGACAGCTTAGCTTAGTGGTTAAGAACACTAGCTGTTCTTCCAGAAGATACAGGTTCAATTCCCAACACTCACAACCATCTGTAACTCCAGATCCAAGGGGTCTGACAACTTCTGGCCTCCAAGGGCACCAGGCTTGCACATGGTGCATATACACACATCCAGGCAAAACACCATACACAGGAAGTTAAGAACTTTCTTAAAAGGTCTAGTTGGTGAGCATTTCCATAGTTCTAGTTGCTACATTGTTCTCAATGACTCAGAAAACAAAGTGGCATCTTCTAATTAGTGTCTGGGGTCCTGCAAACACATGGCCCTCTCCTCCTGTGTCCAGGGCTGGAGACAACCTAGAAAGCTGCTTTAATACTCTGGGGTGGCTATTTGGGCAGGTGAGAGCAGCCACTGTCTGCCTCTCAGCATAGGTCTCAGGCCAATTTGCACAATAAAAGAAAATTTGTGTTATTACTTTGATTTTTCTTTAATTAATTTGGGCAACTTTAGAGGCAATTTTAAAATCTGGAGAGTAAGCCACCTATATACTTTCCATCACTTGGTTTTTCATTTTTAAGCTTTAGTTCTTCTTAGTGTTGCCACTGTATCTCAGTACTACACAACTATACTGGATCTATAAATGCTAAGCCATCCTACCCATCCCCTGCCACCAGACACCAAAACTTACTTTACTTTATTGAAGTTTATCCCAAAAGCAAGCTTTTATAGCTACTATACTGTTAGGCCAGATTAAGACATGGAGAATAACGAAATTAATGAGTTAAAAATACATCCCTTCCCCCTACCCCAACAGTGGGATCAATATTCAGACATTTTGTTCCTAGCTAAAATTTATGCAAATAAACAAGTGTTTCCTAACTCTATCTTTTAGTGCATTGAGCAGCAGGGCTCAGCCACTAAGCCTCACTTAAGTGTATCACTTACAGGTGATATAGGCCCACACTGCCAGCAACCACAAGTGAGCCCCGCCCTCCTGCCAGGCATCCACCCATGACCACAATCCAGGCAGGATTCTACGTACTGCATGGTAGTGGAGATGGCAGTTGAGAATGACACGTGCTTACAAAACGCCGGGTCAGTGAAAAGCTTAAACTTCGTTCCAGTGGGGTCACATCTGCCTCAGGGAAGGCTTCCTAAAGAGCTGACAGGAAACGCCAGCACAATTCCTGTGGGTGCAGATGGACAGCAGGACAAAGAATCACAAAACAGCACAAATCCCATTTGGCCCCCAATATAGGCATTAACACATTTGTTCTTTGTTTTCACATTTGCCCTTTTTTTTTTTAATATTTATTTACTATGTATATGGTGTTCCACCTGCACGTATCCCTGCAGGCCAGAAGAGGGCGCAACATCTCATTGTAGATGGTTGTGAGCCACCATGTGGTTGCTGGGAATTGAACTCAGGACCTCTGGAAGAGCAGTCAGTGCTCTTAACCACTGAGCCATCTCTCCAACCCCACATTTACCTTTTTAAGCCAGGCCCATATATAAATCTCAGAGCTCAGGAGGCTGAGGCGGGAGGAATGAATGCCCAGGTCCATACTACACAGTGAGTTGCTAGGCCTCCAGTGTGGGAAGAGAGCACAGTAGAAAAAGATAATGGTCCCATTTCCAATCCTGCCCTTGCTCTGAGCCATCCCTTCTGCAAACTGGGGGGAAGTGACTACCCTGTGCTCATTTACACAGTCCCCCTGGCCTCACGCATGAGGCTCTGAGCCGAGAAGTGGACATTTGGGGAGGCAAGATCAGCACTTCAAAAGGGAAGACTCCATAGACACACCTAGCTCAATGGGTTCCCAGCCCTGAGGATTCAACAACAGGTACCCACCAGGAAAGCAGGGTCTCGGGAGAAACTTTAGGGCAGTGGTTCTCAACCTGTAGACTGCAACCCCTCTAGGTCACATATCGGATATTTACATTACCAAATGTAAATATCTGTCATTACTAGCCAAATGACAGTTATGAAGAAGCAACAAAAATGTTACAGTTGGGGGTTACCACAACATGAGGAACTATATTAAAGGGTCACAGCATTAGGAAGGTTGAGAACCTATGCTTTTAGAGAATCAGACTTAGGCCAGCAAGTACAAAGAATCCTGACCCATCCATCACAGAGGGCGCTAAGGAGGACCATCAACCAGTGTCCTCATGGGGTTCTGTCAAGAGGGCTGCTGCTACAAGTGTGCTTAAAAAAATAAGTGGTCATCTGCTGCTTCTTTGAACCTGGACCCAAAACAGCAGTAATATTCCATCCCTACGAGAGCAGCAAGACAGAGCAGTCTGGATAAGTCCATGGGTACAAAGCCTCAGAACATCTGAGAAATCCCTGGGAGCCAGAGATGAGGACGCAGCCTCACCCCTGCTTCCACAAAGATCTGCTAACTGCTCAAACCTCTGACCTAATCCAACCCTTCCAAAGGCAGTTTGGCAAGAAGCTGAAGGCGGCTGCTCAGTGAGACATTATCCACGTTTTCCACCATTCAGGGCAATCGATGAAGACAGCAGGGACTTCTTTCCACCATTTACACACATGACTGCAGGTGACTATTGATGAGTCAGCTTAGAACAAAATCTCCAAGAACAAACAATAAGCAGAAAAGGTCTGGAGGTTCTCCTTACTTCATGTTTTCCCTACTCAGGGATCTGACTCCCTTAACTGCACTTGTTTTGTTTTTTGAGGTTGGGGGTGGAGACAGGGTGTTGTGGGGCTCACTGTGTACACCAGGCTGGTCTCCACCACACTCAGAACACTTGTAGTTTTAAGCTATGAAGTATGCTGTTGTGTCTGTACTACTGTGAGCAGGCAGGGTTCAGACACAAAACACACAGACCCCATTTTGCCATTTCCTCAACATGGCACCTGGAACTTAGCACCAACCCTAGGAAAGAAGTATGAGAGAAGCCCATGTCCATGTAATTTTTCTAGGCCCAGGACTTCTGTCACACAATGTTGTATACAGTGCAACTAGAGACCAGTTCCTAGGTCTATGCAGGTACTCCAAGCCCTGGCAAACTCACCAGTTCTGGTCTTCTCTACTATCCTGTGGGGTCTGGACCATTCTCAAGCTACCCCTGGAAATGGTACACGACTAGAAACATGCATGAATAAGGCATCTCCTGCAGTCTCAATCTTCTGTCTCATTTCATACCTGTTTGCCACCACACATCCCATGTGGGAGAAGAGACGCTGAACAGCCTTTTATGCCCTTTTCTCATGGGATGGCAGGAACCAAATAAAGCAATCTCGACCCTTTTTTTTTTTTCTGTGAAATTTATTGTTTCCACATTAAAAGATTTTTTTTTTTTTGGAGGGAAGTATCTTCTTTTAACCACATGATGATCCTATACAGCTGCCCAGAATAGGACACCATCATAAGTCGTTAATTAACATGCCATATGAGTCTGAATAAATAAAAGCTACAAAGCCCAAGTTATATACAAATATCTTAGGCAATAATGTTTACAAACCTATATACAATAAAACAAATGTAAACAGTAAGTGCAGCATGAGAATAACCAAAGGATGCAAGGGACAAACACTTCTGGCCAGTCTGCCCCCAAGAGCTAGCACCAGCCAGCCCCAGAATCAGGCCCCTCAACCTTTCCCAAAGCAACTAGACGGACCTTCAGAAGAGAAAACAAAATGAGCTAAGAGATGTCATTGAACTGAAGGACTAAAAAGCTGGTAAGGAGGTTGCCACTTGCCTCCTCTGAGTCTGAGGCACGCAGTGGCTCAGCCCTGGAGTGCCAGGTCCCAGATGCCCCGCCTCCTGCAGCTCAGACAGCATCTTGCTGCTTTAGAGAGCAAGCCTATGGGATGGGCTGCTTACATTAAGTCAGAAATACAGACAATATTCCCCAATTCAGAGGTGGTCCTGACTCTGAACTATAGGGCGAGATTCGGGGACACATGATTGTGAGCACTGAAGATGCATGGGTGGGAGTTTAGAAGGGTCTTGTCAACCTGATTGAGGAGAACTTCTAGAAGATCTGCAATGTCCTAAACATAACTAAATCCTATCAGCACAGCAAAATGGGGGCTATGAGGCAGATGTGATAAACGGGTACTTCCACATCCAGTGATCGAGTAATACACGTATGTATCACTTGTGACCCACAAAAGTGCAATCATGTGAAACCAACGGCACTACGGCGAGAAGAGAAAATAGCCAGTATTGATATCGCGCAGAGTCCTGGGGCTGGGCAGAGCCCAGCAGCCGCCACTGCATGCAGCCTGCCCTCTGCCAGCGGTGAAGAGGCAGACAGGGGCACAGGGCTGGACCCAGGTACCGAGGGGCGAGGCGTAGGTGTCCTGGGCTGCTGGAAGAGGGCAGGGACCCCACCTGGAGGCTGGGCACTCACACACTGAGAGGCAGCATACCCGGTGCTGACGATGGGCGTGAGGAGCCCAGCCCAGGAGGAGGAGGAGCTGGATCAAAGCCGTTTACTGCCCTGTGGGGTGACCAGAATAGCAAGGGAAGAAGAGAAGAAAAAAAGGCTCGTTTAAATCACTCTACACATAGGAAACTTAGCTGCTCTCTGTAACTAGTCCTCTTCCTTGCCCACAGTAGAATCCTGAATCCCAAAGTAGCTGCCCAGAAGGCACTGGTGATAAGAGAATAGACAGACAATTCACAGTCCTGAGGTACTGAGACCATGTACCCCTTTCTAGACAACCCTATCATATGGGCCACTATAACCACAATTTGATTTTTTTTTAACCATCAAAAGGTCTAAATGTCTGGCAATAGAGAGATAGCTAAATAATTATACAACAAAACAATGATATATAAATACAACTATTAATATATTCTACAGTATTTTTAATAGCAAGGGAAAATATTTAGTATGTATTTAATGATACAAGGAAAAAGAGGCAGGCCACCCAAACTGCCTATTTTCAGTGTGATGTTAAAAGAAAAAAGAAAATGCAAGCAGTATATAGCCTAGATTCTATTCCAGCCTCTTACACAGACACTATGGATTTATTTTTTTTATTTTATTTTATTTTTAGTTTTTCAAGACAGGGTTTCTCTGTGTAGCTTTGGAGCCTATCCTAGCACTCGCTCTGGAGACCAGGCTGGCCTCGAACTCACAGAGATCCGCCTGCCTCTGCCTCCCGAGTGCTGGGATTAAAGGCAATGCCCAGCTTGACACTATGGATTTATGTAGTTTAGAATGAATAACTCTTTAGACAAATACACATGTAAATACACAACGTGTGAATTATATTACATATACACATATATGTAATGAAATCATCTATATCATAGAAGGAAATTTTAACAAAATGTATTCTTCTCTGGGTTGTAGATAAATTTTACTAGTTTATACTCTTATTATTTTACAAATCTATTGCAATACCAGTATCTCAAAGAGAAAAAAACTAATGTTTAACAAGCAAAGCTAGATAGGAAGACAGTTTTTTTTACTTATACACAGCACCCCAGCTCCACAAAAGGGCATCCAGCAAGGTGGAGGGCACGCCCAAATCCACCCACCAGCATGCAGACACAGGAAGCAAGGGGAAGGGAAAAGGAAAGAGAGAAGTACAAGATCTCAGGGAGCAAATTCAGCCTTTCTAGTCAAAGACACTTCCTGGGCAAATCCATCCTATTAACAACTTTGACAGACCACACACTACCATTCTTGCCCACCACTGTCATCTACTTGCTTATGGAAGGATCCAAGGAGCTAAACACAGGCTCACAAAGAGACATCTCTAAAAAGTGAGCCACATATTCCCTGCAAAGACCACTGGTTCATAAGCAGTCTCTAATGGCACACAGAAACAGACATGCAGAGAAGGAGGGTCTTGAACAAGAACCCCAACTACTTTCAGGAAACAAGAGTTAATGTTTCAAGAGACTGAACACAGCTCATACTTGGAATCTGCAATCAAGCCTTACACAGAAAGCAACAGCAGCAGGAAAGACCCTCTGATACACCCCACTCCCCTCCCAGCCCCCAACAACCCCATGCCTTGTTTTACTGTGCTAGACAGCAGAACTTTCTCTCTTTACGTCTTTCCCAAAAGCTGCATGCCTATGCTTCTCCGCCTGGGACCACAATCTGTTTGCCAGTACAGCACTGGCCTATCTGTTGTTTGCCTATATAGACCCAGAGCTCCCGAGCTCCCGATCTCTCCAACAACCAATGGAAGAACTACACATGAACCAACACATGAACCTCCATCCCTGTCCTCAGCACAGACAGGCAAGCTATACTACAGAAAGCCTCCAACTCATCAGACAGGGACACCCTATAGGATGCCAAAAGTTTGTCATATGGCCAACTGGGGTATGCAAAAGTAGCAACTATGAAGACAGTCCCACACACAGAAATGAGTGCAGGACTAAATTAATGCACTTTAAAGTAGCATCAAGTCCGTCTCCATTGTTACAGAGGAAAGCAAACCAAGAAGATCATTAGCCCAGGCTCACCCACCAAAATATTATTAGTGAGTTGTTCAGCCCCAACTACTTCAGGTATCCCACCCCTTCCCAGCAACCTCTAGTCACAGGCCACTCAGGAGCCCTCAGAGAGCAACCACTTCTTTGTTCCCTGTATGCATGAGCTCTAGTGGGGAGCCAGTGACATCTCTGTGTGGTGGGAGAACTTGGAGGTGGGTTGGGCAGAGGGTCTCACCTAGAACTTCTCTTCTGAATCAAGAGGTAGTAAGCTAAAACCAGAAGAAAAGAAAGCTGACCTCCATGAGTACTTCTAGTCTAGAAAGGCTCCTTCAGGAAACTGTAAAATGTATTCAATGAAGAAGGTTCCCAAGAGAAGAAAAGCCTTCAGATACACCATATGCAGGTATAGAGAAATAAATGCCCAGTGGGCCACACAGAAATAAAACTCCAGAAAGGTACTTTAGCAACAGAAACTGCACCTCTGCGGCCAGCCAGGAGGGCTATTACCTAGCAATACAAAAAAGCAAAGCTCGGTATGTGGAAGAAGCAAGATGAGTGCTTCTGAAAGGGCAGTGGGTGGAAGGAGGGCAGCCTGAACTGATTCTCAATAACATGACAAAATGGACATCCAGAGCCAGCTCTCCCTGTGTGTAAACAGAAACATGGTGCAGTCCCAGGCTGCTCCAGTCCTCTACCCAGGCTATGCCAACAATCAAACAGTTCAGAAAGGAAGGGTAGATTCTACACACCTCCCATTTACCATCCCAGTTTAATGTGGAAACACAAAAGCGAGCACGGAACAAGGGAGTTCATTATCACCAGTTTCTGACAGGAGAACACACAAGGAAACCCTTCCCCATGCAGACAGTGAGATGTGACCCTGCCCTAGAATAGGGAGTGTGCCACCAGGCTAATACTCACAGCCACTCAGGACCACAGCACTGAGGTTTTGTTTTATTTTACTGAAGTGGCATCTCATTCTTGCCAAGCTGGCTTCAACTCCTGAGCTCAAGTCACCTTCTGCCTCAGCCACCCAACTAGCCAAGACCACAGATACATGGAACTAACAGCAATAATGTAATCAAGCAAGACAGGATCTTGAAAGCTCATTCATGGGCTAAAGGTTGATTAACCAGAGTCAGCCCCATGCAGTTAGTAAAACCAGTCTGTTAATGTGTCTTCCACCACACAGCATGAGTAAGACGGAGAAAAGGAAAGCACAGCAAACAAATTGAGTTACCCATGAACAACGTGGGAAATATGACTTTTTCTTGCCTAATAAAAAAAAAGGAAAAATCATTAAACAGCAATACAAACACCATTTTCACATCATGCCCTGAAATGAGCCCACATCTACCTACATATGACCCAGAAAAACCTGACTGCTTGGTCCACCATTTGCACCATGTGCAAGCAATACATATGAAACCAGATTAGTGTTATGAAGAAAAAAATGTTTTAGAGAAAATTCAAGTAACACACAAATTTAGGCTGGAATATAAAAAGAGTGTCAGCAGTAGGAAAAACTAGGGCCACCAGGAACAGCAGCCGGCATCTGAGGGGCTGGCAGAAACCTCAGAAGACAAACTCCTGATTCTAAGAAGTCCTCAGACAACCAGAATCTGCAAATACTTCTGACTCACTTAAGGCCATGGACCCAGTTTAGATGTGTGTAGTTTTATGTGGCAAGGCTTCAAACAAAATGAAGTAAACACTCAAACCTCCCAAGAAAATCCACCTGTCAGTCTACAGTCACACTAGTGAGCTACAGTGATGAAGCTACATACAGAGAGATTCCTCGGGAGCAAGGCAAACACCACAGCCAAGGGTTTTAAGATGGGGCTGTTCACATGCTGAAGTCCCAAGCCACACTTCCCTTTTGTCTACAAAGACTGGCATTTCTTTGACAAGCCAGAATTAATAATGCACCTGGGGGTCAGGCTATTTGCCCTTTCCTCTTACAGTTGGCACATACCATCTTGGTTTTTATCTAGTCAATAGGTAAAAAGCCAGGCTGACCACAAGAAAGCCAGAATGAAAGCAAAGCAGCAAGAAGCAGTAACAGCGAACCCTCCAGAGCAGTGAAGAGATGAGAATTCCTGAGACAACAGCAGGTTAACAGTGTATCCATAAGCTACTTGTTAAATAAAGCAAACACTGTACCAAGGGCCAATCCATAAAAGCATATTTCGTTTTTTGGTAGAAACAGAACAACATAAAATTTTTGTAATTTAAAACAAAACACAAACAGCAACTATCTGGTTCTATCAGGAAGCACATTTCCCATTATTCAGCTCAAGAAATAGAGAAACCCTGCATCTAGCTGTTCCTGGGGGCAAAGTTCAGGCAGAGCTCCACAGTCATTCCCTTCAGCTTAAACCGATGTTCCACATCCAAGGGCGGATTCATCATCTCTGAGCAATGCTGCCCTGGTACTCTGAGATGGGAGGCAAGTGCAAGAGAGCAGTGAGCCTCAATGATAGTCTATTCCTCCCTCCCTATAACCACCTGCCAGCACTTTCCATATAAAGGTCCCTGCCTAACCAATCCAACACTGCTTCATGTCTCCTCTCATACTCTAAGATGCCTTCTGTGGCCCACCAAGAAATGTAATTCCAGAGACAGAGTCTAATAACTACTCTGTTGGAGTAAGCACACGTTTTCAACACTCCTGAAGACTTCCTCTCAATGTCTCTGTATTGTTAGGGGAATGACTAATGAGAAAATGTCTGTCCAAGTCATGTTGTTCCAGAACAGCTCAAAAACTGGCACTCCCAAGTCTGATGAAAATTAATGTTATACTTATCCCACCTGAGGAACCCAAAGAGGTAGAACAGAGTTCTGACTTATATACTGGTATTTTATAATGTGCTTTTAGTAGAAAGTCCTTGTTGTAACTTTCAGGACAGAAGTGTCATAAGAAAAAGCAATAGACCAGAATACTACACTACATAGGTGAACAATAAAACTCTAAAGAGTAAACTGTAGGGGCTGGAGAGATGGCTCAGTGGTTAAGAGCACTGCTTGCTCTTCCAGAGGTCCTGGGTTCAACTACCAGCAACTACATGGTGGCTCACAACCATCTACAGTGGGATCTGATGCCCTCTTCCAGCATAAAGTTGCACATGCAGATAGAGCACACATATACATAAAAATAAATAATCAATCAATCAATCAATCAATCAATCTATCTATCTATCTATCTATCTATCTATCTATCTATCTTAACAAAGAGTAGACTGTAGCCTGGCATGGTGGTGCACACCTTTAACCCCAGAACTCAAAGGCAGATCTCTGTGAGTTTCAGGTCATCCTGGTCTACAAAGTGAGTTCCAGGACACCCAGAATTGAACAGAAAAAAAAAAACCTGTCTCAGAAAAAAAAAAGAAAGAAAATAGCAGACTATATAGAACAATCAGATCTTCCATAAACAAGCTGTAACTATTTAAGACATCAGAAAATAAAAGCACCTTTAAAAATATTGTGAAACATTCTAGAGCTGTCCCTGCTTTGTTTGCTGTTGGTTTTAAAGCTGCCTATTCCATTCACAAGAGACAATGGCAAGGGATCATGAGCACATAAGCTGCTGTTCCAGCAATAACTAAGGTAACATAATCAACAAAGAGATTACAGGTCCTAACTAGTTCCCTATATTAAATTAGATAGCTGTACATATTAGAGAGAAACAAATAAAATAGAATGAAAGGTACTGCCAGGGAAAAAATTGGCAATGTAAATCAAAACAGGCAAGGACCAAGCAACATTTAAAGCATGCTCTTGTAGATGTGCTACAAGAAGCTTATAGCAGATGCATAAAAATCTGATTTTACATGCCTGAAAATTAACTCTAATGACAAAAATAGTGCAAAAGTAGAAAACTTATCTTCACATACTTCTATGACAAATGAAATTTTTTTCACTAATGACATACCACTGCTTCAAGCTTAAAAGCTTTTTTAAATTTGAATCACACACACACACACACACACACACACACACACACACACACATACAACCTTTCCTATTGTTTTCTTTGTTTTGCTGAGACAGTCTTCCTGAGACAGTGAGCTGGCTGGAAACTCACTAGATATACCAGGATGACCCTGAACTCTGACCTGTATTTGAACTAGTGTCTAAATACTTTAGGATTTTGCATTTTTCTAAACTAGTCAAATAAATGGTTTAACATATAATCTGAATACAAATAATTGCAGTATTCTCACCCTTCCCTTAACAGGTTTGCTGAGAGAATTTCCCAAGCTGAGCACCTGGAGAGCAGGCCCACAGCAGCCCTGCACATTCTCCTGAGCCCAACACAGGTCCCTTTAAGAGTCTACTCCCAGAACAGACACTGCAGACTCCAGGGGCAGAAAGCTCCTTGAGAACCAGAAGACAACAACAGATCTCTGTCCTCTGGGACTTGAGTAAGATGATCACAGGGAAGCTCATGAGCACATATGGATTTGTAAATTTACTAAAATGATCAGTGAGTCCAAGGATTGAGGCTGTAGCTCAGTGGTAGAATAACTGTCTGGCATACGAGGCCTTAGGTTTTATCCCTAGAACTGCCACAAAAAAAAAAAAAAAAAAAGGTCAAAGACTTACCCTTTATGGAAGAAGGTCCCTCGCCCTGACCTTGGGCACTCTGGGCCGTTGCTATTCATCACCCCACAGTTAACGCTCCCTGGGATATAGGGTTTTCGTGATGCTTGGTCTTTTGCAAAGTTCCTGCAAGCTGCTAATTTGGATTCTAAAGCCTAAAAAGAAGAAGAATGGCTATCAAAACATTGACCATATAGAAAATATTTTCATTTCAAACTATTTCTATTTCAGGCTTCAACCCTTATCCTCCAGGACAACTGCCATTAGTTAAGCCAGAATCATTTGTCTTTCTAATAGAACAATGAACATTACTAATGAACCCAAAAAATTTAACTTATTCCTCTCAGTATCACTGAGGAACACAGATATAACCCACACCTTACAACTAAGAAAACCATGTTACCAATAGGTAAGGAAAGACCCCAAACCTCACAACCAGTCCATTATTTGTTACGTTCTACAGTACTGGTTAAGTTGGGATTTGGTGCATTTGTATAGCAAGCATTACAAAGAATTATCACTAGCCAGGTAGTGGTGGCGCACACCTTTAATCCCAGTACTCGGGAAGCAGAGGCAGGCGGGTTTCAGTAAATTCGAGGCCAGCCTGGTCTATATATCGAATTCCAGGACAGCCAGAGCTGCTACCCAGAGAAACCCTGTCTTGAAAATCCAAAAAAAAAAAAAAAAAAGAATTATCACAAAGAATGTTTTTAATGCAGCCCACTCTTTGTACAGGTTTTTCAGTCTACTTTTCCCCACTACACCAGAAAGACCTGTTTCTACTCTCACATGATATGAAGCCATTTTCCCTGGATAGCACTGTGAACTGTATGCCTGAAACATGTCTATAATTAATGTGCCTGTAAACAATACTGACTCTTTATCATTTACCTCTACATCTAGTATCTTTCCTTTACACCTGAACAATACCTGCCACATGCATGCTCTACCAGCAAACAGATGACTAAAAAAAAAGGAGGAACTACTTTCTCATTTCTCCACACTTGGATATCATGAAATCCCTCCTTCCCAACAAAATTTCTCCCAAATCAAGTTGTCTCTCCACTAGCCCCCTAAAAAAAAGGAAAAGCTATGCCATGTCGAAAAAAATGTAGCCCATTCCAATTCACAACACTAAAGGAAATCCACAGGTAATACAAACGTTCAGAATCTGTTTGGACATCCTACACCAACATTTCTTATGGAAGGCAAAGATGAACACACAAAACTCTTACTCCCACATACACCATAGTGTGTGTGTGCCTGCACTCACACAGGAATACACACACGAGTGAAGAAGTTACAGGGCTGATGCTTAAAAAGAAGCCATTGATGGAAATATGTGACTAATGCTAGACATGCTGACTATACAGCAATGGATAAAATCACAAGGGCCCATAACTTTTTCCAGGAATCCACCTGTTTGGCTATTCCAGATGGCTGGTCTCCTTTATAGCCAAGACAACTATGAAATAATAGTGACAACGAATATTAAGAGTCCTGAAGGAGTAAGAAACAAGTGAAAGCAAGATGGTTGATAAAGACTAACACTATTCTTGATAAGATCCCAATATTAGACACAGTGAAAAATGGATTAAGAAGGGTACATCCTACAGTTCCAACTACTTGGGAGGCTGAGAAAAAAAGGTCACCTGAACTGACAAATTTGAGACTAACAAGATGCTACATTAAAAAACAAAAAGGCATTCGAAGAAAACGCAGTTTCAGATTGGTGAGATGGCTCAGCAGGATTATACCTGTGGCCAAGCATGATAGCCTGAGTTTGATCCTGGGATACATGTAATAGAATTGAAAACTAGACCTGAAAGTTGTTCTGCCTTCCACATGCGTAAGTGTGTGCACACACACATACGCACGCACACACACACACTCTTCAAAAAAACTTTTTGTAAGAAAAAGAAAAAGAAAAACCAGAGCTGGAAAGTCAACTCAGAGGTTAACAGCACTGGCTGCTCTTGAAGAGGACTGAGTTTTGATTCCCAGCAGCTCACAACCACCTGTAATTCCAGTCCCAGAGGATCTGACACCCTCTTCTGACCTTGGCAGGCACCAGGTACATGGTGGACAGATATACAGGCAACTCATACATATAATTAAATAAATCTTAAAAATTAGAAAAGAAAAAACTAGCTTCATATTTCAAAATCCAATCTACTGAAAACAAGTATGAATAGGACACCAAAGCTGAGGTAGCCCAAGAGTAGTAAGACCTAGACAAAGATAGCTGGCAATGCCTAAGCCAGATACTATCCCACAAAATACAAGATGAAGGATAAGAGTCAGGGGCAAAGAATAGGATTTGAGGAGCTGCACGGTAGACAGGACAGCAATGAGCCCAAGCCCTTCCAGAAATGCCTTCTTAAGACCAAGGCTGGGGATGTTTCTCTAGTCTAGTCTCTGCTCATCAGTAGATGCTGGTGCTTCTCAGCTTCATCACCGTTCTCACCACAGGAAAGAAACGGTTTAGCACTACCTCAGCAGTGGAAACACCTAGTGATAAATAATTAAATGCTTACCCCTACTTTCCGCAAGAGATCCCCCACGATGTTTAGTGCTGATATCCTAGCAGAAGGAGTTAGTGGACTGGTTCCAAAACCATTTGGTATAGCTACAAAAAAAAAAAGAAAAGCAGAGTGATGACATCAGCAGCCTCCTTTATATTTGACATATTTGACTTGTGTTGACAATATTACAAAGCAGAACACATTTGAAACAAAAATTGTATCGTTTCAAGATACACCCTTTAAAAGAGAGGTATCATAAAAAATCGTGGCACCTGGTGGATAACCTAGACTACATCAATGTGTCAGTACTCCAAACTGCTGCAAGGACAAAGACCCTTAAACATCTCAACAGGTATTGCTGGAGATCCTAAGAATTGAACTGTGAGGGCAGAGGGCTCCCCTTTTGTCCTTAACAGGTACTACCCAAGATACTCCACAAGAATACCTGCCACATATAAACTCAGACTGGCAGCAGGCACAGTCCCTGCACAGACCCAAACCTGAAAGGGTCCCAGTGCTGAGAAGGGCAAGGAGACATAAGCCCCTTTCCCTAAACAAGAAGTTATCTCCAACTGAAAACTGCCCACAAAGGAAAAGTTAATTACTCCAAGGGAGTCTCACAGGGTCAATATACCACACTTAAGGGTAGATACCCCCCACCCCCCACCCCTTGCCCAGCAGTATTAGATGACCAACACAAAAGTATTTCTGTCACAGAGAAACCTTGTCTCAAAAAACCAAAAAAAAAAAAAAGATCTGGAAGCTTTGGGCATTTTTTTTAAACATTACTGATGTTTGCTTGTACATTATGGTTTCTGATTTTGTGTTTACGGGATGGTGTGTGTATGTGTATGTGTGTGCATGACAGAGTATATATATGTTTCTCATGTTCTTTGTTTCTTTTTCTTGTTAGTTTGGTTTTATTCTTGTATTTTTTGTTGTTGGTGTTAATTATTTTTTTCAAAAGAGAGAGAGAAAGAAGATGTGGAGTGAACGGGTGGGTAGGAGGATATGGGAAGATATAAGCAAGGAAAAACCATGAGCATAAAACATTGTATTAAAAAAAAACTACTTGCAATTAAAAAAAATAAAAGACAACTATGTCAAACTAGGTGCAGTATCAACACATGGATCTACCTCTGTGAGGTTGAAGCCAGCCTGCCCCCTCCCAGATATGTATGTATGTATGTATGTAGGTATGTATGTATATGTACCAGGGCAGGCAAGGCATCCCAAAACTCTGGAGGCTGAGGCAGGCAGATCTCTGTGAGCTGAAGGCCAGCCTGAACTACAAAGAGAGTCACAGAGCTATTAAACAGAGAAACCCTGTCTTGAAGAAGAAAAAAAAAAACTTGCTGGGCGATGATGGCACACGCCTTTAATCCCAGCACTCGGGAGGCAGAGGCAGGCGGATCTCTGTGAGTTTGAGACCAGCCTGGTCTACAAGAGCTAGTTCCAAGACAGCCTCCAAGTCACAGAGAAACCCTGTCTTGAACCACTACCCCCCCCCCAAAAAAAAAGAAAAGAAAAGAACTTTGTATGAGAGACTGGGTGTGGTGGCTCATGCCTCTAATCCCAGAACTTGGGAGGCAGAGGCAGGAAGATCAGGAATTAATTCAAGAAACCAATTTATCCTCAGGCCAGCCTGGGCTGCAGGAGACAAGTGTCTCAAAACCAAACACCAACTTATAGCAGCAAAGAAACATGTACATACACACCATACAGTGAAGAAAAAATCAAATGAAGAAAATATAAACCTTCTGTAATCCAATTTTTTCTATGATTTCAAATTTTCTACATAAAACTGGGAATATAGACCAATGTGCTTTTACCAAGCACACACAGAGCTCTGGGTTCAATCCTCAGGACCAAAAAAAAAAAAGGGGGGGGGGACATAAAAAATCTACAAGAACATGTATGTCTGCAATAACCAAAATTAAACTTTTAAAAATAAAAACTAAAATTTAAAACTTAAACTTTTAACTTGCCAGGCATGGTGGTGCATACCTTTAATCCTAGCAGCACTTGGGAGACAGAAGCAGGCAGATTGTGAGTTCAAGGCCAGCCTGGTCTACAGAGTAAATTCCAGGACAGCCAGGGCTGTCTCAGAAATAAATAACAAATAAAGCTTTTAGCTTTTTAAAAATGTCCCTGAAGTTGTTCCTATCTTCACTGGAGGCATCATCTATCTCATTTGCTACACATCACTGGCCTAGGAGAACAACCCTTTCTTGGCTTCACAGACACCAGAGTAACTTTAACTGTAGCAGTTCCTGTCCCATCAGCAAATGCTTTAAAACTGAACATAACAGAGCCACAAAGAGAAAATACCAACCTTTTGGTGAAGGGAAACTGTTTTCTGTTCCTTTCCCAACAGGTGTTGCTGGCAAGGAGAGTGAGGCTTGGACAGCAGAATCCATCTTCTCACAGTCCAGAGTCGGAGAGCTAGGAGCAGATTTGCGGGTCACTTCCTGTTGTCGTTCCCGAACTGCTAGCTCTTGCCTTAAATCTGCAAAATGTTTCAAACAAAGACAGAAATCCTCACTAGAGAAGCAAATATATCCTGCAAAGTCCCAACCAAAACATAATAATGACATTCCTAAGCATGTCTCAAAACAAAGCACCTGAAAATCATCTCATGAATAAAAATGTGAGTTCTACAATTTAAATAATCTCTTAGAACTTAAGAACATGGGGCAGTGAGATGGCCCAGTAGCTTAAAGCACTTGTTACCAAGCCTGACAACCAGAGTTCCATCCCTGAGACGGATATGGTATACTGTGAGAACCAGCTCCTACAAGTTGTCCTCTGACTTCCATATTTATGCAGTGGCACAAGCTCTCTCTCTCTCTCTCTCTCTCTCTCTCTCTCTCTCTCTCTCACACACACACACACACACACACACACACACTCACACACTTTAAATAAGTAGACATAATTTTTTTTATTAGTTCAAATTAGGAACAAGCTTGCTTCAGATGTCAATCCCTTCTCCCTCTCCCTCCCCTCCCCCGAAACATCCCACCTGCCCCTAGCCATCCCAGTAAACGTAATTTTTAAAAAGAATTTTAAAATGCTAAACCTCAAGAGAACAGAACTATGCCCAAAGGCAAAAAGAAATTGATCAGTGAGGGCTGGAAAGATGGCTTTTCCACAAGACAAATTCAGTTCCCAATCCATGTCAGACGGCTCACAACTGCCTATAATTCTAGCTCCAGAGGATCTGATATCCTCCTTCTGGCCTCTGCAAGCACCTGCACACAAGTAGCATACACATACACACAAAATAAATCTTTAAAAAAAAAAAAAAACAAAAAGAGCAGGGTGCAAAATAGAACTCATAGTGAAACTAAATAACACAAAACAAAGTCCTGAAATTAACAAATGTCCTGAAATTAATAACACAAAACACTCCTAACCAACTCGTTCCCATATATATCTGCATATATCACATTTTGAAATAGTAGTTTCAAGACTATTTTACAAAAAACAATGAAGTAAAAAAAGTTTTGTGATTTTTTTAATTTTTTACTTTTTTTTCCCACAAGGTCTCATTATGTAGTTCTGGTGGGCCTGGAACACTCTATCAGTGAAGCTGACCTCAAACTTATAGCGATCCAACCACCTTTGCTTCCCAAGTACCAGGATTAAAGGCACGCACAGCCATACCATAGCTTTTTTAAACCACTGCTATGAAATCTTTTTTCAATACTGAATTTTTAATGTTTCCATTTACACAACTAACCTACAGAATTTCTGTCAAAAAAGAATAGGAAGATTCAGATCGCTGTGAGCTCAAGGACAGCATGATCTACATAGTGAGTTCCAGGATAGCCAGGGCCATGTACAGAGACCCTATCTCAGAAAAGCAAAATCAAGCCAGGCGCCCGGCATTGGTGGCGCACGCCTTTAATCCCAGCACTCAGGAGGCAGAGGCAGGAGGATCTCTGCGAGTTCGAGGCCAGCCTGGTCTCCAGAGCGAGTTCCAGGATAGGCTCCAAAGCTACACAGAGAAACCCTGTCTCAAAAAACCAAAAATAAAAATATAAATAAATAAATAAATAACATAATAAAAAGAAATAACACTTGATTAAAAAAAAAAAAAAACAACAAGCCAGGCAATGGTGACACACACCCTTTAATCCCAGCAGAAGGTAGAGGCAGGAAGATCTCTGTGAGTTTGAGGCCAGCCTAGTCTACAAAGTAAGTTCCCAGGACAGTCAAGGCAAATAGAGAAACCCTGTCTCAAAAAGACAAACAAAGATAGATAGATAGATAGATAGATAGATAGATAGATAATATTTAAATAAATATTTTTTAAAAATCAGCTAACACAGACTTTTATTGTCCAAACTTGACAGTGTAGAGGGAAACAGATTTCTGTGAGTTGGGAGTGACTATGGTTTACATAGTGATATTCAGGCCAGCCATAACTATACCGTGAGACCCTCTCTCAAAAAGCAAAATAGGAAAGATGTTAAATACAATTTTCTATAAGTAAGAGGCTGGGAATGTAGCTCAGGGATAGAGAGCACTTGCCTGGCAGGCATTAAGCCCCACCACCTCAAAACAAATGAACAAAACAATGAGCAAGACTGGGGATATAGCACAGTAGTACAGTGCTTGTCTACCATGCACAAAGTCTTGTGTTCCATTTCTAGCACTGCAAAACAAAAGCTATCAATAAACAATACCAAGTTAATATTTTACATATTACATAATCTAAAGTAGTTCTTCAGACACTGAAGAGGTGGTTCAGTAGTTAATAGAACACTCAGCTCTTCCAAAGGACTGGGGTTTGAGTCCCAGCACCCCAATGGTGGCCCACAACCATCTGTAACTCTGAGTCCAGAGATCTGATCTTTTCTAGTTCCCTAGGACACCCAGCATGCAGGCGGTACACATACATGCAGTCAAGACACCCTTACACATAAAATAAACTTACAAAAATAAAGAAATCTTTTTAAAATTCTAATTTTAAAAAAGTTCCAAATGTCACCACCCTCAGAAAAAAGAAAATAAAAAGGCATTTGAAAATATATAAGAGATGACATAAAATTAAAACACACTTCCTTTAAAACTCCCCTCACTCTTCCTCAGAAGCATAATAAAATTCAGATTATAAAGAAAACAAGATCAAGAGCAGTAAATGCCCCAACTGCTAAGTCATCTCTCTAGATCCAAAAGTCTATTGAAAAACTTGTGATGGCATGTATATTCCTATATTAAGCAGAAGAAAGGGAATGTGTATGCACACTGGTTTGCTTATAGGAAATAAGTCAGGAATTATACAAAGGAAGATAGAAAGACATATTTATGCACAACCATAAAAAACTGAACCAAATATGTCACACCGTTAGTGGGCTTTCCTTCTTTATAAAATTCTGAATTTTATTGTGCTTCTGGAGACATAAGTTTTAATTAAATAAAGTGAGTACTGGCTACATGTATAATAAACAGCAACATATATAAATACATGGTTCTATGTAGATAACATGAAGGTATTTAAATAGAATCAATACAGAAAAAAAAATCCCAAATGAAAGCAGTACTACCTTGGAAAAACCCAAACTCTCTATGCCTCACCTTTCTCATCTACAATATGGATGAATAATAACTACCTTGTAGCACTGATGATAGGTTGTGAAATAAATTACCAGGGGAAAAGCAATATGTAGTGATTAAAAGATAGGTAAATTCATGTGAGACTAGAGCTTCATAGAAATTGAGGGCTAGAGACATAACTCAGAAGCAGAGTGCTTACCCAGCATGCTCTAGGTCCTGGGTTTGATTTCCAGCACCATCAAAAGGGTTGATGCTTGGCTTACTCAGGCTCGAGGACAAGGCAATGGATAAATACTTGCTAAGTTATTACACTTACCTCTTGCTTCATCCTTTAACCTTTGTACTGAGACCAACAAAGATTCCTTTTCATCAAGTTCACTTTCTAAAAATGCATTTCGTTCAATGGCCTGATTTAGCCTTTGTTCAAAATCTTCCAGTGAAACTATTGTTGCCCTTTAAAAAAAAATTAAAAGTTATGAATTAAATAGCATGAACAAACAGCTAATACAAAGAAAACAGTTTATCTCCTGCCGTTCCTGACCCAGTCAGTCTGACCCAATTTGAAGAATGATCTCACTCCACCCAACAAAAATTAGCATGTACCCACTCTGTGGCCTCCCATTTCCTGCTATCTGCTACAGAAATAAAATTCCCCAACCTAAAGTTAGAACTCAGAATGCCAATTCTAATCTTATCAGTTACAGTAGGCTGCCAAAATGTCTCTCCAAAGCCTTTTAGTCTTTGGTCCCCAACAGTCTCCCCTCTCTTGCCTTAATTCTTTTTTCTCATCTGGATTACTGCTTCATAGTTTTACAACAACTCCTTGCTTAAACTTCCCAGTATTGTCAACCGGGCAGTGGTGGCACACCCCTTTAATCCCAGCACTCGGGCGGCAGAGGCAGGGGGGTCTCTGTGGGTTCGATACCAGCCCGGGCTACAAGAGCTAGGTCCAGGACAGCCTCCCAAGGCAGAGAAACCCCGTCTCGGAAAAACAAAAAAAAAAAAAACCTTCCCAGTATTGTCAACCGGGCAGTGGTGGCACACCCCTTTAATCCCAGGTTTCGGGAGGCAGACGCAGGCGGATCTCTGTGGGTTCGATACCAGCCCGGGCTACAAGAGCTAGGTCCAGGACAGCCTCCCAAGGCAGAGAAACCCCGTCTCGGAAAAACAAAAAAAAAAAAAACCTCCCCAGTTTTTTCTTCTCAAAAAAAAAAAAAAAAAAAAAAAACCTTCCCAGTATTGTCTTCTCAAATCAATCAGATGTTACCCTTTGTAAAGAGACGCTCAAACATAGCACACAGGGTTACTCCCAACCTGGCCTTCCATTCTCATACCCTTCAGCTGTCACTAGACCTGCCAATGAAAGCAAACTCTTAATGAAATAGTGCAAACACCTTCTTGCCTCCAGCCTCTTCACCATCTCTCCACGGTGAATTAACTTTTCTTCTTTGCACACTCAGCTCCAATTTGTAAAAGGGCTCTCCAGTACCCACAGGTGCTCTAGCTGCTCTGAAGCAGCTTGTACATTCTTCCTCCTGGAGCATTTATCATAGCAGGTGTTCTTGGGGTCAGCTCCAAGGACAGTGACTAGCATCATGTCAATCAACAGTCAACTGATAAATACTAAAGAAAAAGTACTAGGCTTGGGGCTGGAAAGATAGGCTCAGAGGTTAAGAACACTGGCTGCTCTTCCAGAGGACCTGGGCTAATCCCCAGCAACCATATGGTGACTCACAACCATCTTTAATGACATCTAGTGCCCTCTTCTGGAGTGCCCGCATACACGCAGTCAGAACACTGCATACACAATAGATAAATAAATGCTTTCTTTTTAAAAAGTACTAGATGATAATTGTAAAGTAGTAGGAGTTAGGTTTAGAATGGTAGTAAACAGTAACTGAGACATGAAAATCTGACAACAGTAACAACAAGCCACTGTAGGATGAAAGCAGTAATTAAAGGATCCACTGGTCAATATTAAAAGTAAAGAGACTATCCAGGCCATGGTGGCGCATGCCTTTAATCCCAGCACTCCCAGGAGGCAAAGGCAGGTGGATCTCTGTTGAGTTCAAGGCCAGTGTGGTCTACAAGTTCCAGGACAGGCTCCAGAAAAACCCTTTTTTCACAAAGCAAAAAAAAAAAAAAAAAAAAAAAAGGAAAAAGACTGAAAGTGTGAAGATAACTGCTGAGTCCAAGCTTAAGATATACAGGCCTACACAACAGGAGGTAAAGACTGAGAACACACAAGGAAGAGAGGACATGTGAGGCACATTTCTGCTTTGCTTTTTGATGTCAGGATCTTACTCTATAGTATGGCAGAACTGGAAATCACTCCATAGCCCAAGGTGACCTCAAACTCATAGAAATCCTCCTGCCTCAGTCTCCAAGTAGTGGGATTACAGGCACAAACCATACTCAGCTGTGAGACACATCTTAAATTTGGAAAAAAAAAAAAAAAAAAAAAAAGACAAGTAGGGTATGGTGGCGCATGCCTTTAGACCCAGCACTCTGGAAGCAGAGGCAGGCATATTCTGTGAGTTTAAGGTCAGCCTGGTCTACAAAGCAAGTTTCAGGACAGCGAAGGCTGTTACACAGAGAAACCCTGTCTTGAAAAACCAAAAGTAAGCCGGGCGTTGGTGGCGCACACCAGCACTCGGGAGGCAGAGGCCAGCCTGGTCTCCAAAGCGAGTGTCAGGATAGGCTCCAAAGCTACACAGAGAAACCCTGTCTTGAAAACAAAAACAGAAAGAAAGAAAGAAAGAAAGAAAGAAAGAAAGAAAGAAAGAAAGAAAGAAAGACCAAAAATAAAATAATAAAATAAAAATAGAGTACTTGCTGCACAACAATGAGTACCTGATTTCAGCTCCCAGCACCCACATACCAAACTGGGTATGATTTTGTGTGTGTGTGTAACCCCGGCACTATGAAGAGCAGAGGTCAGAGGATTGTGAAAGTGCTTGGAAGGACTTTATTTAGGAGGATAAAGGCTTTAGGGAGATTTGTTTTTGAGCTGATCTGTAACTTGCTAGGCTGGTCTCAAACTCACAGAGATCCATCTGCCTCAGTCTCCCACGTGCTGGGATTTAGGTTTGCACCACTAAGCCTGGCATGTTGTTTTGTTTCAGTTTATTCTTTTGGTTCCTTTCAATTCAATCTTGACATAAGATACTGAAGGGGGAAACGGGCTCCTAGGGTCCAAGGAAAGCCTGAGCTGACAACTGGTTACCCTCATGAAGCGCCCAGCATCCTTTACCTTTTTGCTCTCTCCAGGTCATCATTGGCCTGCTCCAGCTCTCTCACATACTTATGCAGTTGCTCCTTAATGGCCCGGGTCTGACTTAAGTCATCTTCTAACACTGAGACCTGCTTGTAGCTCTGTGCATACTGATGCTCTAGTTTCTCCTGAAAGAAGGGGAACACAGAAAAATTGGTGGTTAATATGTAATCATCTATTAATAAAAGAATTTCCCCGACGGGCAGTGGTGGCGCATGCCTTTAATCCCAGCACTGGGGAGGCAGAGGCAGGCAGATCTCTGTGAGTTCGAGACCAGCCTGGACTGCAAGAGCTAGTTCCAGGATAGGCTCCAAAGCCATAGAGAAAAAAAAAAAAAATTTCCCCAATTAAAGGAGAAAATAAAAAAGATCAAAGAACTTCACCACAATCTAAGCTAATAGCATACCTCCTCCTTTTTGCAATATTTTAAAAACTACATGGACAGAACCATTCTAAATGTCTTTATTCATGTAAAACTTATATAGTACCCATTCTCAAAAAAAAATGATATTTCTGAAAAGTAAAATAATAGGATCCTTGTCTCAAAATCTAAAGGTCGGGCTAGAGATGACTCTGAAGTCAAGAGGAAGTGATGCTCTGGCAAAGGACCAGAGTGTGATTTCCAGCATTCATGTCTAGTGGTCACAACCACCTGTAACTCCAGCTCTAAGACACCCAATGCTCTTTTCTATGGCTCACAACCACCTGTAACTCAAGTTCTAAGACACCCAATGCTCTTTTCTAGCCTCCATGGGCACTGTACTCACATGACATAGCCACACAGACACATAATTTTAAAATTAAATCTTTAAAAAGAAAACATAAACCTTACTGGGTAACTCCTAGGTTTGCAAGATGAGGACAACTGGACAGAAATACTCTCAAGGATCACAAAGGCCCCCAAATCACACAGACCACTGACATTACTCTTAGATGGCCACCAGAACTTGATATTAAAACGGAAATACCATCCAGGCAGTGGTGGCACATGCCTATAATCCCAGCACTCAGGAATCAGAGACAGGTGGATCTCTGAGTTCAAGGCCAACCTGGTCTACAGAGTGAGTTCTTGGACAGCCAAGGTTAAACAGAAAAACCTTGTCTCAAAAAAAAAAAAAAAAAAAACCCTACTACACAAGACACAGCACATATTGGTTATAGCACATACAGAAGTCAGCTGGGACTGAACTGAAAACTTCCTCTCTGCTTGACTAGCTTTCACAGTGCCAGAAGCTGCCATAAAGACTGCTGGCACTACCCAGCAGAGCACCCGACATGCAACAGTACTGAACTGCCAGGCCAGATGTGCCCACTGATACAGTAAAGGGATGAAGGCTAGAGGAGTAACCAACCACTTTTGGATTGTATTTGAAGCCGGCCTCATGGTAGGGAATTCATGCCTGGTATTGTAAACCTGGTCATACGATCACAGGCCCTAATAAGGAACCTACTTAGTTGGGTTTTGTTTTGTTTTGTTTTTGTTGTTGTTGTTGTTAAACAATATGTCTATCTGTTTATACCCAAAGATCAGTACTAATTCAACACTAGCCAAAGAAACAGACTATTGAGTGTTCAGCCCTAAATGGGACATCTCTAACACCACCACCACCACCACCATCCAACTCCACCACCAAGGCTCAGGGAACACTACAGAAGACAGGATGCAAAGAATGTAAGAACTGAAGAATGAGAAGAGTTCTGGAAAATGTCTTCTGGATACATGACCCTTGCAATCACTGCAGCTATAGCTACCTACCTAAGACCTATATAAAAGCAAGTAACAAGATCAGTTAGCATTAGAACAGTAAGAACTAATTGTACTCAGTGGGTTATAGGAGGGAAAAAGACAAGAAAGGGGTAAGGAACATGTTGAGAGTAGCTGAGAGGACAGGAGAGGGAAACTGGTGGTGGATATGATCATAATACACTGTTTACATGAAATGGTCAGAGAGTAAATAAAATATATTCTATTGGTTCTATTTTTGAAAAAAAAATTCAAAAATCTACCTTAAGCTTTTTAAAAATACTTATTTTTTTGCCAAGCAGTGGTGGCACACGCCTTTAATCCCAGCACTAAGGAGGCAGAGGCAAGCAGATCTCTGTGAGTTTGAGGCCAGCCTGGTTTACAAAGTGAGTTCCAGGACAGCCAGGGCAGTTACACAGAGAAACCCTGTCTCAATAAAAATGAACAAAAAAATATAGTGTGTGTGTGTGTGTGTGTGTGTGTGTGTGTGTGTGTGTGTGTGTGTGGTTTGCTTACTTCTTTCAGTACTACTGAATAATATATTTCTCATATTTTAAATATTACTAAATTTCATGTAGTGTATGTATATGCTCTTGCTACATCACATGTGTGAAAATCAGAAAACAATGTGAAGAAAAAGGTTCTCTTCTTCTACCATGTGGGACCCAGGAATCAAACTCAGGTTGTCAGGCTTAGTGACAAGTGCCTTTCCCCACCAAGCCATTTGTCTGGCCCTACATTTCTCATCTAATAAAAGTCAGTACACTAGTCAGTACTGCACCCAGGGAAGTAGGTTCTGCCACAGTTACCTTTAATGCCTCCACTTCATATTTCAGTCTTTGGTTATCAGCTTGCAGGTCTCTATTTCTTTGTTCAGCCTGTACTAACTGTGCCTCCAACTCTGCTTCTAATTCTCTGCTTCCTTCCTGGAATTCAACTAGCTCATCCCGAGCTTCCTGGAAGCTAAGCAGAAGCAAAATGAGAAAGATGAGTTAATAGTTGTGTACTCTCATATAATTACGTATCAATTCCATAATTTCTGACTAAAAATTAATGTTCTCATAAAATATTAAACAGTAAAGAAAATGCATTTCTTGCTCCACATATATTCAGCATTCAATAAAAAGTAGTTATATGCCCTCCCCACAAAAAATCCTACATAACTCAGTAATTCACAAACGTAGTTCTATGTGGCTCAAAACCACCATAAAACTGCAAGAGGAGGGGTGTGTATTTGTACTGAAGTAACTTCAACTGGGAATTAAGTTTGAATTCTAATTGCTAGAAATCAACACATACTCTCAAATCACAATGGCTGGTACAGATCTAAGCATCACTCGCTCATCACTAATTCAGAACCAGGAAGTTTTCTATGCTTCTCCATCTTTTTTACCTAATGTATGCACTAATACATTATTCTAATACTACAAACTAACTTAATATTTAGTTAATTTTTTCAATAACTGGTTTTCTCTATAATGCCATTACTTAATTTTCTGCATTTAAATGTATTCTAAGAAGGGGTTCACAGGCTCCCCTGCCTCTGAAGGAATCTGTAATGTTAGAACAAAGGAAGAACCTCTGTGGATACAGAGCATCTTCATCCCTTGGCCTGATACAACTACAAGGAAAGAACAATGGGATCTGATAAAGCTTAGCTAACTCTGTCAACCAAAGGAGGAAAATGTGCAAGTGTTCTAGTAAGATTTCAAAGGTAGACAGAAGGCTCAGTGGTTGAAAGCACTGGCTGCTCTTTCAGAGGACCAGAGTTCAATTCCCAACATCTACATGGCAGCTCACAACTATCTTTAACTTCAGTCCCAGGAGATTATAACGCCCTCTTCTAGTCTGTATGGTCACCAGACATGCACATGGTGCACAGACATACATGCATACACATACACATAAAATAAAAACAAATCTCAAATAAATATAAGATTTATTAAATAATAGGAATTTAGGATAAGTTTTAAGGCCAAAGAGCTATTTTCTTCCCAACTAAGTAAAATATTATTTTATAAAAGCAATTTTATAAAATGTTCCATAGCTTGGAAGCTCAGCTGCCTCCCAACACTAATAATGCATGCCCGAAAAGATAAAAGTCTGTTTTAAGCATCTCAAATGAGCCAATGATGAGGGAGCACCAGTACTCACACAGAAGGTCAAAAACAGCCCCAGACTAGTGACAAGGCACAGGAGGCAAGCAATCAGAAGAAATCATAGGTGGAACTAAAGCTTCCTGCTATTACAATTTGAAGAACATAAAGACTGGTGGTAGCTTTATACTATTTAAATACAAATATTGTTATGACTATGAAATCAAAATCCTAAAGCTGAAACTCTAAATTTAGCCTTATACTCCCAAAAGAAAAAAATATGCAAGCTATACATGGCATATTCCAAATCCGACCCCTATTTTAATAGTTTTTAAACACTACCTTTGCTTATACTTCAAGGAAAGTTCCTTCCAATAAGCAGTTTCTTCCTTTAAACTTGAAAAGTCTGGTATATCTTCACCATCCATGATCAAGAAAGCCTGTGGCAGTAAAGACAAAGAACCCAAAATATAAGTGAAAGCATGGCACTCATTTGGTAGTTTCAAAGGTTCTAGGAGTTGCTGGAACTTTCCTAAAACTTAAGCACACATCCTACCTCACTCAGGGACAACCAACATTATGGATGAGGTTATAACAGCATATGACATCAACAGGGTCAGAAGGAATGAGGCATTTTCAAATACAGCACTGGGTTCTACGTAATTCAGCAGTTTATGGCCAACTGGTCTTCAGGGAATCCAATGACAGAAACAAACAACTGTCAGAGAATTTGCCACTCCACATGCTTCCCTGATGTGTAACAGCTTTAAAACACCTGCAACAGGTCTGGGGTGTAGATCAGCTGTTTAAGTGTTTGCCTAGGTTTGACCTCTAGCAACACCTGAAATCTCAGCACTGAGAATTGGAGGCAGGTCATTCTCAGCAACACAGAAAGATCAGGGTCAGCCTGGGTTACATGAGACCCTGTCTCAAAAAGAAGTGGGGAGAAAGGGGGAAGGGGGAAAGGGAGACAGAGGGAGAGAAGGAAGGAAGCAAGCTGCTTAGAACCCTCATGCCAAGTGAAACAACTTACTACATCAGGCAAGACCCACATTCTCAAATCATTTTTTTTTTTGGGGGGGGGGGTCAAGACAGGGTTTCTCTGTGGCTTTGGAGGCTGTCCTGGAACTAGCTCTTGTAGACCAGGCTGGTCTCGAACTCACAGAGATCCACCTGCCTCTGCCTCCTTAGTGTCAAATCTTATTTTTGAAAACATCCTCAGTCATCCTTCAATCCAACTTTACTCCAAAGGTCACTCATCTCCAACTGCAATAATCTTTGTCTCAGTTCTTCCCCACAAGGTATTCACAGAGGAAGGGACCTAGTTAGTTGCTCTTGCCATTTCAACTGGCTAAAACTCCCAAATGATCATAGAACAGATTAACACCACCAAGATGTTCCAGATTCCTGCCACATCTTTCCTACAGTCTCCTCTTTACTTCTGCCCCAGCACCACATCCACACAGCAGATACACAGTAATGTCTACCTAAATAGATTTCAATGTGTGCCAGCAAGTAAGGACTGAAGAACAATCTAAAACCAACTAAGAAAGCCTTGGAAATGCAGAGAACTCAGAGTTCATCTTAACAATTCACTTATGTTTACCAAGAACTCAGCCAGAGACCACAGCACATACAGAGCTCCAGATCCAAATGTGTACACAAGTGAGGCATGAGCGTGATGTCTAGTGGGGATAGAACTAAAAATAACATGATATTCTCAGCTTAATTCTTTTGAGGCACAGTGCCAATTTTTCCTTAACCAAGTCTTTGCTGATCATACTATCTATTATTATCTTGACATCTAATTAGTAAATCTTCCAGTTATCTTAAACTCCCAATCACCCTGAAAGCTCTTTCTAAAAGACAGATTCTTGACACACCTTGTATTCCTTCATGGCACTGAGTACAACAGATTTCTCAGAGAAGGCACCTAATGCTCCAATCATTTACTAAATACTAATGAGATTTAAGCACTATTTACTTATGTATTTATTGACCAATTACACTATCCTCTAATCTAATTACACTACATTAGCACAGATTTGTCTGTATCACTTTTTTTCTTAGATATGTCTTATACCATGAGAGTACTTATAGCATGTACCACATAGGGCTGGGAGTCTTGTTGAGGCTGTGTTCTAAGGTTCCAATTCTGCCATTAAATTACTTATACAAGCTGCTTATTCTCTTAGGCTTCAGTTTGTTTCATTTAATAAAGGTGTGGACTATACTCGGTGGCTAACTATTTCAAGTATGTGTACTGACTAACAAATACTGATTGGTTCTATAATTCTGTCCCTTTGTCAAAGTCCCAGAAATTCCCACTTCACTTGCCCAAATACAGGTCACTGCTTGGCTTCTGGTAGTCTATATGGATAGGATGGGCTCTTCAGCAGCCAGAGGCACTCAAATTTCAAAAGATCCAAAGTACAGGCATCACCCTATAGTATCAGAAATTCATAAGGGTTAATACGAATGTCTCCTTAGGTAATTTAACAATCCAGACGAAGACAGAATTAGAGAAAATATGTGGTAGCATCTTTTCCATGTAACATGAAGCAACAATCCATGTGTCTCCTCTTAATGCTCTACATAAGATCTTTTCCCAAAGTGTCCTGGAAACTGTGCTAAATTTGAGTCTGTATAACAAGGGCCAGAGAGAGCACTCAGCAATTAAGAGCATTTGCTGTTCTTTCAGAGGAATGGGGTTCAGTTCCTAGTACCTACATGGCAGCTCACAACCATTTGTAATTCCAGTTCCAGGGGGTCTGAGCCCTCCTTCTGGCCTCTATGGGCACCAGACATGCTAGTGCTGCATGCAGGCAAAATACCCATATGCATGAAATAATTAAAAAATGAAAATGAGAACAAATATTCCCTAGAACTAGGAGTATAGTTCAGTGGTAGAACAGGCCCTAGGTTTCACCCCTATTATAATAAACAAATAAATCAAGCCCTGCCCTCAAATTTAAATTAATTATCTAGATACTGACAACCATGTGTCAATGGGAAGCTAAAATGTCCAGTTTCTAAAATAAAAGTCAATAAATTATGGATTTTTATAGTGTTATAAAGACCAGAGATAACAAAAGAAGCTAAGTTCCACTGCTGCTGATGCTGCCATCCAGAAGAAACAAATGAAAACAAATTAAAGGCTAAGTCTCTCTAGTAAATTCTTTATTCATAAGATCTTGTCTTATAATTCTTCCATATCACTTGAAATAAATGACCTGGAAGGCACAGGCTAAAAGACATAGCCAGGACTGCAATGAAGTCTCATGATAAAGCCTAAGCCAATAGCCTAGACCCAGAGTGGCTCAAATAGAGAGATGGCTCTGAAAACGAGGAGAAAAAAAAATAGGTATTACGACTACAAGGTTGTTTAAATTACAATGTAAGTGCTTACTCTTGTCAATTAGCAAAGTTGTAACTGAAAGCTTTGGTCTCTCATACACACACACACACACACACACACACACACACCCTCCACCTACCTCTGGAGGGAGGGAAACTAAGACTGTCTTCATCCATATATAAAATTTTTAATTCACGATTTCAAATCTAAGATCTTTCATCTTTTTTTAGAGCTTTATGTTTATTTCCTATGTATGGATTTTTTTGGTCTGTGTACCATGTGTGTGTCTAGTGCCCACAGAGACCAGATCCCCTAGAACTGTAGTTACAGATGGTTATGAGCTGTCATGTGGTTGCTGGGAACTGAACCCAGATCCTCTGGAAGGGCAATCAGTGCTCTTAACCACTGAGTCATTTCTCCAGGCCCCAAATCTAAAGATTTTAACTCGATAGATTAATACTATGGTTTTTTGTTTGTTTGTTTGTTTGTTTGTTTGTTTTGGGGGGGTTGAGACAGGGTTTCTCTGTGGCTTTGGAGGCTGTCCTGGAACTAGCTCTTGTAGACCAGGCTGGTATCGAACTCACAGACACTCCCCTGCCTCTGCCTCCCCAGTACTGGGACTAAACGTGTGTGCCACCACTGCCCGGCGATTAATACTATTTTTAAACCACTGGGATAAGTCCATTAACCATAGCCATCAATGAACTTTCTATTTTCACCCTTGAATGTGTTCTTAAGTTTTGTATGTTGCTTCCAGGATTTGGAAAACAAGCATGTGTTCTTCATTTTACACCCTATCTGATCTTGGCAGACCCTGATGATAGTATCTTAGCTTTGCTCTTCCCCAACTGAACATTTTAGACTATTCAGCAGCCATTCCAGGCCCCATAATTTAGACTGCTCTTAGATTGTTTTCTTAATTTATTTGGCTTTTCCAGACAGGGTTTCTCTGTGTAGCTTTGGAACCTGTCCTAGAACTTGCTTTGTAGATCAGGTTGGCCTCAAACTCAGAGATCCGCCGCCTCCCAAGTGCTAGGATTAAAGGAGAGCGCCACCACTAACACCAGGCAGACTGCTCTTAGATTACATATGTCTTTGAACCATCGCTGCACTTGAGTACTGACATTTTATTCACCAACAGAGACATCTTTTGCGTTTTCTTTCCTTTTTTAAAGATTTTATTATGTATACAGTGTCCTACCTGCATGTATGCCTGAACACCAGAAGAGGGCACCAGATCTCATTATAGATGGCTGTAAGTCACTATGTGGTTGCTGGGAATTGAACTCGGGACCTCTGGAGGAGCAGCCAGTGCTCTTAATGAGCAGCCAGTGCTCTTAATCTCTGAGCCATGCAACATTTGATATTACTGTGTGTACCAAGGACCAGTGTCCTCATGGGCATTGTTAGTGGCTGCTAATGCCTTCCTGGACATCTAACATTTATTTTAATGTATGGTGTTCGAATGTAGAACCAATCCTTCTACGAATAAGGTCCTATAAATTTTATTCACTTACCCATTCACTTTTCTGTGTAGAGGTCATTTCTGTTGTTTGAACTCTGATACACAGTACAAAGGGACTATGGTGGCTACTACTTTGAAGAGCATTTAGCTCAGCAATGGTCCCAGGGGAATAACACTGTTTACACTTCTTCGTATGCTGTAAACTATGCATTGTCTCCAGCTTTTGGTTCTTAAGTGGGAATGTATTATTTCCATATTTCCTTAAGTTACACAGAAAACAAAGTTGTACATATTAGTAGAGTACCATGTAAAAGTGATACATGAATACACTACATGCTACTTAAATAGGGTTAAACACATTCACCTCTTAAATAGATTATCCGTTCTCTCTGGTGAAAACTTTCAAAATCCTTCTAGCTCTTTAAAATGTACACTCCAGAAATATTATCTAAAGCCATATATTCCTTATTCCTTTATATTATTTTGTGTCCTTCTATGTATGTGTTCATATGGTGGTGGACTGTATGAGCATGTTTGTAAGCAGATTTGCATGCATTTGTGTGCACGTATGTGGAGACCAGAAGACAAGCCTAGGTGTCATTCCTCAGGAATGCCATCTACTCTTTTTTGGGTTTTGTTTAGTGGTTTGTTGTTTTTGGTGGTGGTGGTCTACTTTGTTTGAGAAAAGGTCTCTCACTGAACTAAAATTTACCCATAAGGCTATACTGGCTAGTCAGAAAGCACCAGTGATATCCACCTGTTTCTGTACATGTAAATACAAGCACACGCACACAGTGATGAGATTACAAACTCCCATGACCACACCTGGATTTTTGACAACGGTTCTGACGACTGAACTCAGGTCCTTTACTAAGCACCGCCCCAGTCCAAATGAATGTATTCTCAATACATCCACCAACTTTTCCACCAAGTGTTCCTGATGACACAGGTCTGTTTTTGCAGGTTTTGCTTTGAAAGTGTTTTATTTTTTTTTTTTTTTTTGAGACAGGGTTTCACTATATAACCCAGGCTGGACTGAGAACACCAAGATGTCCTTGAACTCAGAGATCCACCTTCCTCTGCTTCCTGAATGCTGGGGTTTGAAAAATGCACCATCAACCACAGAGACACAGGTTTTAAGCAGTCTTTACATGCAACCTCTTGAAAATATAATTTTAGCTGTTATATCATCTTTGTCCCAATATTTCAATATCAAATAATTCTCAAAAAATTTTTAATGTTTTTACTTCAAGAGTGATTCTCAATTTTCTTGCTAAATCTTGGGTAAACTGAATGTTTGCCATGGTTTTTCTACCCAACAAGCTAATCTCACAGCTTATTTTGGGCCCTTTAAGCTATACCATTACCTATGCCAGAATTCTTTTATTTAAATGATCAACATTAGACCTGGTATGGCGGTGTAAGCCCGTAATTCCAGCACTGAAGAGACAGAGGTAAGAGGACCCAGAAAGACAGAAGATCAACACGAATTTCAGGCCATCCTCATTTACATAACAAGTCTTATGTCAGCCAAAGCTACACAGCATCTAATCAAGAGTAAGTCAGAGGAAGGCTAAAGTTCAGCTGGTAAAGTACTTGCCTAGCATAGCACACACGAAGCCCTGGGTTCAATCCTCAGTGCTGCATGAACCAGTGTGACAAAGCAGATCTGTAATCCTAGCCTTCAGCAGGTAGAGGGAGCAGAATCAGAAATTCAAGGTCATCCTTGGCTACATGGCAAGTTGGAGACCCAGCCTAGCCTACATGACTTTTCAAAAAAAATTTTTTAAAAAGAACAGAAAATTATGGGAATAGAGATGGCTCTGCAGTTAAGCACGCTTGCTGTTCTTCCAAAGGGCCAGAGTTAGGTCCCAGCACTCACATAAGGTGGCTCACAACCATCTGTAGCTCCAGCTCCAGGGAATCAGATGCCTCCTGCCTCTGTGGGCACTGCATTCTCATGAACATACCCACATGTGGACACATACCTAAACAGAATTAAATAGAATAAAAATAAATATATCTATTTTTTAAAAGAACAAGTAGGAGAGGGCTGAGATGGTTCAATAGCTAAGAGCACTTGCTGCTCTTGCAAAGAACAATTTGGTTCCCAGCATCCACATCAAGCAGCTCACAACCCCCTGTACCTTAGCTCTTCTGCTGGCCTCTGCAGCCACCCACATTCACACATACACATACACATACACATTCACCCATACACCCACCCACACCCACACCCACACACACACACACATTTTAAAAAGAAAAATAAACCAGAAAATCAGCATACAAAGTGCTTAAAAGCCTGGAGCCAAACTACACACTATCTGGGTGACCATGGGGTTTACCTAACTACTCAGTACCTCATTTCCTCACCTAAAAAACAGAAAAATTAGTATGTTTTTAAGACTGAGTTACTATTTGTACAGAACTTGGAACGAAGCCTGGTGCACAGTAAGTACAGCATAAATGTTAATTCAATGATAAGAAGCTAGTAGGCCAGAAGTGGACTGAAGTTAGACCACAGAGTATTAGACCACAAAGTAAACAGATTTATCCGTTTAAAAACAGGTAGGATTCCTCAAAAGCATTTCATTGTGGAAAGGTCTTTAAAACTTCTCTCCTGCAATATGCTTTATGAGCTAGATAAAAAAACAAGCAGGAGTTCTCACCCTTCAGTTACATTGTGTTTGTTGCTTCCTGTCTGGCAATGCCCAGCTTCATCCCACTACACCTATTTATCAACTATCCTTCTTTATAAATAACAAAATGTGCTACCACTGAAGATAATTTCAAAACTGTTTCAAAGACTGTGTGGAGTTTGCCCCCAGTTACACTGGGAGGATGTGCTCACTGTCATTTGAGATTACGTAAATGGAGAAAAGTAAGGCTGAAGAAAGTTAGCCAATGTCAAATTTTTCACTGCTTTAAAAAACTGCTCAAATGGCACACCTACAATCTTCTGAGGCTGCAATGCAGGCAGCCAAGTGTTCTCTGTTCCTCTCAATCTTCCCTTAATACTATGTCTCACATGGAGTGTGAGTCTCAAAATTATAACTTTAACACAGACATTATCACACTTTGTAGACCTTCAGATATCTAACAACTGACAATTAACAGCCTACCCAACATACCTTATGGCAAAGATACTCTGTACAGTATTAAGAAAAAAAAAGTTTTACATGATAGATTAACATATATGCAGAATGAAATAGGTCCCATCAACACTTTTCTCCCTTATTAAGGGCCTAGAAGCTCGAATCAGAAGTAATTTTAACTTTAGTCCTCAGTCCTCAAATTTATTTTAACATGTTTTAAAATGCAAATGAGCTGGGCGGTGGTGGCAGACACCTTTAGTGCCAGCACTTGGGAAGTAGAGGCAGGCAGATCTCAGTGAGTTCCAGGCCAGCCTGGTCTACACAAATCGAGTTCCAAGACAGTCAGTCAGGACTATTACACAGAGAAATCCTGTCTCAAAAATCCAAAAATAAAAATAAAATATAAATAAGTTTTGTTGGTCTCATGAAAGCATATTCAGGTTTTTTATTTCAAATGCTCTATAGCCAACTTCAACTTAATCTCATTTAAAACAGAGCCACTGCAGATTTAGCAACTTCTACTACAATTAGGTCCATCTCTACTGGGGCTAAAAGTTTTCTTTGTTCCTTATATATTTCCAGTCTAAATAAAGATTTTAGCAACAATTTGGAAGAGACACCCCCAACTCGGTGTCTTTGGCTTCTCTTGACTCCTCCTCAGCTTAATGCTGAGTTTTATCCTATCAGCTTTCTGATTTGGCAGACACTGCCCTATCTCTTAAGTGCAGTGAAAGCAACTTAATTTATCAGACTAATAACCAGCCATTCATGAGTAAGTTTCAGGTAAGATTTCTCTAATAACTGAATGGTGGGGGTTTCTGTTTTGGATTTTTGGTTCTTGTTTTTGTTTTTGGTTTTTTTTTTTTTGGTCAGTTTATTCGAAAATAAATAAGTCATTACTAACTTCTGGTATTATGTTTGACAAGCCCAATGTTCTGGCCTCCTTTCTGACTGAAGAAGGTAAATAAATAGAGAAACCGGAACCCTGAGCCTAGAAGGGTAAACTCTGATCCAAAAAATGCTTCTCCCTAGTTGCTGGAAGTCAAGTAAACAAATCCCTTAATTGCCCCTGAATCTGGACTCAATTTCCCCATCCAGCAAAAAGTGACTTACAGAATCCGTCACAAGTGCAAACAACAAATGCTCTAAAATGTTTACAAACGCTACAGGCGTGGACCGCGATAACGAAAAGAACCCTCACTCGACTTAAATTTAAAGGGTTAGTTACCTCATCGTTTCCCAGAGAAAAATTAGAGGCGAGCCCAAGCAACCGGAGCCGATTGGTGATACTTTCCCCAACTCCAAAGCGGGTGATTAGCAGTTCGGGGCCGGCAGTCACGAGACTGCCAGTCGCTGCCAACGCGGGCTGCTCCCGTTCTCGCCTCCGACATAAGGGGCGCTGGGAAACCAAAATCCAGCCGAGCCCCTAAGCACCCTGGCGGCTCAAGGGAATCCAGGGTGGGTGGAGCGAGAAGCTGGGCGCGCCGCTGCCACCCCAACCGGGCCACTCCTCGAGCCGTCAGCGCCTCGGCCCCCAGTGCCACGTCCCGGCCTCCGTCCCTTCTCTGGAAGCCCGGGACTCGCTTCCCTTGCAGGTGCCCCTAATGGGCCACACCGCCGACAGCGAGGAGGGGACAGTTAGAGCGGTTGAACAGTTGTCTCTGGACCGGCTGCCCCAGAACCCAAGCCCGGCTCGGCCCAGCGGGGCCTGAGACGCTCAGGCTGGCTCCCCAGGGACAGGCCTCGGCGCCGCCCGCCCGGCTCGACCCCAGGGGCTGCCTCAGACGGTGCTCACCGCCAACGTGTCAAAAGCGCATGTTCGCAGCCACTCGGCCGACGTCTCCGCTCCGCTGGCCTGGCCAGGCCCGCCCAGCCGTTCAGCTCTGCTCCCTTCCGCAGCCCTGAGCTCCACTCCGCGTACCCCCGCACCGGGCTCCTCCCCGACACGTCAGGGGCTCCCTGGGTGTCGGAGGCCATTCTGTGACGCACGGGGGCGGAGTCGGGAGCATGCGCAGAAGCGCAAGGGGTGCGGGGAGGAGCTGAGGGAGGCAGGCGTCACACGGTGCCGACCCAGACCCTGCGCACTGACGTCAGGCCGGCGACACAGTCCTGCGCAGGCGTCCCGGGCCCCCGCAAAGAGTGGGATTTTAGCCATCTGCGGTTTCAGGAAGCTGTGCTGTTGTCGAAAGTAGTTCCCTAGGGTAAGAAGGGAAGCAGGAGTAAAGGAGAACCGGCTCGAAAAGGAGACAGGAAAGATGCGCAACTGTCCAGAGAGTGGAAACTTAAAATGGTAAAAGGTATTTGGGGAAGTGTTTTAGGGACTTTTGCTGTCTCATGTTCAATGTAATTCTAATTTTAGTGCTCTTGGAATTGGTTTTGCGGTTGAAGACACAGTAACATAGCGTACTTTTGAGAAGTGAATATAAACAAAAAAAAGGTGCAAGATGGATTTTTAAGGAGAATTCAAATCGATGAGGAGCAGAGGAGAATCGGTGAGGTCTAAAGCACCTTGAATCAGACTGTGAAATATATAGGTTTTTTTTTTTTTTAATGATTATTAATTCACTGTGTTGTTTGTTCCACGGACAGTTGTACTACTCACTGGCCTGCACTGCTTCATCACAGTAACTCCATGTTATTCTCATCGTGCAAGAAATAGCCCCAAGGTCACTCAACTGCAGTGAGAATTCAAACCCAGGAACCATACTATTATCCACCACTCTACTGACAAAAAGGGAAACAATACCATTTACTGGTCTAGACCTGATGCTAAATGCTTTGCATACACTACCCTTTAACCCTCAGCAACCCTACGAGGTTGGAATCATTAGCTCTATTTTCTATATTGTATCCTAAGACTCACAGGTGTGCTCTCCAAGCCGACCTGGAGCAGCTTGGAAACTCAAACTGGAGCTCTGCTTTCCTGCTTGAAGCTGTCTGTGCTCCGTCTAATCAGATCTCAGGCAGGGAAGTCATTAATGAAGGCTTTCCTATAGACCAAGGTGCCAAGACATGAACATTCCACCCCAAAGAGGAAAAGATAAAGCCGTCAGCTTCTGTTCTGCCTCCTGGCTGAGGTGCTAAGAAACACACTGAGTCACCTAATGGCAAGCCAGGCCCTTCAGAAAACATTGACATCATCTCCCAGGCTGCTGCCCCTCCCATGTGCTCTGGCTCTAGGACTGGTGTTTGTCAATATCTTTGTGTCATCCACATCTTAATGAATGGGCTTAGCTTGGCAGAGCCCTCAGAAATCAAAGGCACTTCTCTGATCTTCCTCATTAACTCAGGGGCTGGAATAGGGTCAGAGTCAGCAAACTGCCCCACCTTCTTCTATTATGCCAATCAGTCTCAAAAGGAAGCACAAGTTATACAACCAGCTTTGTAAGGATAGAAAAAGGGAGGACTGCCATACCCTACTGTGTTGGTAAAGCATCCTAAAGCAGTTTGCATAGGTTCCAGTACAAGGTCTTTCTTGTACTGAGCCAGAAAACTCAATGTCACAATCTGAGAACATGCATAAATACCACAACATCTTCCCTGTTACAAACTCCAAAATACAAGAATCAGAGATCAAGTTCCACCCCTCAAATGGGTAGAGAGTTGACCAGCTACCAGAAGGGAGCTCTAGGACCAAACCCAAACTCCAACTAGTGAGAATGCTGGATTTTGACCAATTACATATTCAAAAAAGGTAATTGTCTTAGTTTGGGTTTTTGTTGTGGCAATGAAACACCATGACCAAAAAGCAAGTTGGGGAGGAAAGGGCTTATTTAGCTTACACTACCATATCACTGTTCATCAAAGGAAGTCAGGACAGGAACTCAAACAGGGCAGGAACCTGGAGGCAGGAGCATGGAAGGATATTGTTTACTGGCTTGCTCCCCCTGGCTTTCTCAGCCTTCTTTCTTGTTGAACCCAGAACCCTCCCCCAGTAATCATTAATTAAGAAAATGCCTTACAGCCAGATCTTATGGAGGCATTTTTCTCAATTGAGGTTCTCACCTTTCAGATAACTCTAAATCTAGTGTGTCACGTTGGTGTAAGATTAACCAGCACAGTAATACAGTGTGTACAAACCTGCTATGAAAACATGAGAAGATGTAACATGTTTAACTAATAAATCAGGTAAACAAGACATCTCAATCAAAGGCTCACTGGGTTTGCTGGTGCATGCCTGTAGTCCTGGAAAGTTCCAGGCCAGCCTAAACCACTACATAACAACACCCTGACTTAAACAACAAAGCACGAATATACACACACAAAAAGAATACTTCATTCGGTCTAATTTTTCTATATCCCTGTAATCAGTATGATTTTTTGCTAATCCTTAAGGGTACAGATGAAGTTGAGTGAGGAATACTCAGTAGCCATCTGATTGCTAATGATCTACCTCGTATGTCCACCTGAAGTCTCATGCCTAAACCCCACAGATCTTCCTTTTGTTTCAACTGAGATTTCTAGAATGATTTACATGTTTGTCAACTGTGCCATGTTTTTCTAATTACTGAAGCACAAAGCCTTAATGATCCTCCTCACTGGCTTACAATTCACTTAATGTGGTCTCTACGCTACAGCAACTTTCCCTGTATAAACTCAAGTCTATTCATTTCCCACTTCTTTCTCCCTGCATTTCCCCCAATCCAAAGTCTCCTATTTACCTGTACTTCCTACCCGCAACTTCCCTCCTTTGAATGATATCTTGTTCCACCCTAGCAGTCTCTACAGAGCTATCAGAGTAATATCACTAAAATTCCACTGTATACAGAGCATCCCTGCTTCAAAAGTTGACTTGTCTCCTTGTTACTTTTGCTGTGAAGGATGAACTACAGTCCAGTGGTCAGAGCCCACAGAGCAGCTTCAACCCACCCCGGCAAACTGCATCCTGCAGTTCACCTGAGTCTAAGCGGACTGACCACTGTGCCCCCTTGGTGGTCTGAATGAGAATGGCCCCTATGCTCATATATTTTAATGTTTGCTTCCTGGTTTGGTGGACTGTTTAGGAAGGGTTAGTTGTGAGATTGTTGGAGGAAGTGTGTTCCCTAGGGAGGGCCTTTAGGTTTCAAAAGCCCAGGACAACCCCGGTCTTATTCTTTCTCTCTGACTCCTGCCTACAGACCAGGATGTAAGCTCCAGCGCCATTGCCTGTCTGCCGCCATGCTTGCCACCATAAAAATCATGGACTAACCCTCTAAAATGATAAGCAAACCCCCAATTAAATGCTTACTTCGATAGATTTCCTTGGTCATGGTGTCTCTTCACAGCACTAGAATAGTAACTAAGACACACCCCAGGGGACAGCTCCCTTCCTCTCAAGGACCATCTTATCCCACTGCCCTACAGCTATTTCCAAAGCTAGATCTGCCACCTTTCTCTCTACCTTCTTTAGTCTCATTCACCAGCTTCCTCCTCTAGGAAGCCTTCCCTGATACCCAAAACACAAATAGAGTGCCACATAGTTAAAAGAAAACTTACAAGCACTGCCTTTAAGGGCCAACAAGATAGCCAAGCTGGTTAAGTTGCTAGCCTACAGTGTATGACCACCTGACTTTGATTCCTTGGTTGCACATGGTAGAAGGAAAGAACTACCTGCTCAAGTTGTCCTCTGACCTCCCCTCCCCACCCAGAGATTTTATATTATAATGGAAAAGACAGTCATTAAGCAAACAGAAGTACAAAGAAAAATAACTAGGGCCAATGGACAAAAAGGGGCAGAAAGTGTTTCCTTGCCAAGCATGGTCATTATGCCTGCAAAGCTAAGAGACTAAGGCAAGAAGACTGCTGTGAGTTCAAGGCCAGCCTGGGATACACAATAAAACACTGCTTTCTCTCGGGAGAAGGAGGCAGGTGGATCCCTGTGAGTTTGAGGCCAGCCTGGTCTACAAAGTGAGTTCCAGGACAGTCTCCAAAGCTACAGAAAAACCCTGTCTTGAAATACCAAAAAACAAGCCGGGCGGTAGTGGCGAATGCCTTTAATCCCAGCACTTGGGAGGCAGAGGCAGGCGGGTCTCTGTGAGTTCGAGACCAGCCTGGTCTACAAGAGCTAGTTCCAGGACAGCCTCCAAAGCCACAGAGAAACCCTGTCTTGAAAAAACAAACAAACAAAAAAACAGAAATACCAAAAAACAGACCTGCTTTCTGGGTGAAAACAGGACATAATATCGATGGGATTTTTTTTTCTTCCATTAAGTTGTCAAGACCCTTTCAGCAAGAGGATACAAAAGATATATAAAATAAATTTTAAAATATGCAGATATCTTAGCTAAAGAAATATATCATACTTTTTCATCATAGTTTCTGACATAAAATAGGCACTCAATAAACATGGCTGGATCAATGACTACCTACAGAAAATGCCAGAGTCTTTGACCAATGTATTTCCTCTTAAAAGATTATGAATGACAATTGGTTGTGTTTAATAGTTTAATACCAAAATGCCCAGTTCTAAGCCTAGTATGGTGGTGCATGCCTGGTCCCAACTACTCATGAAGCTGAGATAGCAGGATTGTTGGAGAATAGCTTGGAAAACATAGTGAGCACTCAGTATCCATTGTTCTCAGTTCCAAACCTCCTTCCTGTTTTCCCTTTCTCTTATGGAGAATGCTATCTGCATTCTTGGACCCTGTCAGGGGCTGTTTTCACCCTCTGCAAGTCTTCAAGTGTCCCTTGCTGAAAGGGGGCTTTTTTTTTTTTTTTTTTTTTTTTGGTTTTTCGAGACAGGGTTTCTCTGTGTAGCTTTGAACTCTATCCTGGCACTCGCTCTGGAGACCAGGCTGGCCTCGAACTCACAGACTCACAGAGATCTGCCTGCCTCTGTCTCCCGAGTGCTGGGATTAAAGGTGTGCGCCACCAACACCAGCTTTTTCTAGGTTTTATGAGACCAAGGTTCCTCTGTGTAGCCTTTACTGTCCTGGAACTCACTCTGTAGACTAGGCTAGCCTCAAACTCACAGAGATCCACCTGTTTCTGCCTCCTGAGTGCTGTGATTAAAGGCATGCATCACCTTGAAAGGGGATTCTTGAAGGCAAGAAAAAGGAGTAGCATTTAGTTTGGGGCTGCAATAGGTCTTCCTCTCACAGGCCTGCCCTGATAGCTGGTCCCTGGAAGGGAAGAGCCCTCTTCCTTATCCAAGAAGATAAACCAGGGACTCAGGAGAATCTCTGCCCAGCCACTTATCTTCTATTGGTGGGACCCGATATGCTACCATTGACCCATCACTCTTCTGGAGTCTGTCCTGATTTCTTCCCCAGCCCCCTACCTGGCTTGGAACTTCTTCCCAGTCTGGAACTGTGTGACTTTCCTGACTGCAGAGCCTCCAGTCTCCCAAGCTTCAGTCTTCAGTCCTGGTTCCAACCGTAGCCTATACCCTGGAGTAGCAACTGCCTGCCCAAGAAAGAATTGACAACACTGTTGATTGCTAATTTGGTTAACACCTGGCAACGCCAAGAGTTGTTGACATCACATTTAAACACTGTGACTGTCCCTGGAGGAAAAAAAAATGATGCCTCCTCACACACCTTACACAGACAAAGCAGGCACCTGCTTTGCCTGCTCTCAACCCAGACTGTGACCAGGATGAAAAGAAATGGAATGTTTCTAACCAGCCTGAGCGGATTGTATCACACAATCTCAGCCTAATTCCCACTACTGGGTAAGCCGATGAGTCAGTTACTGGCACCCAGAGATTATGTATTCAGCCATTCAACAAATATTTATTGAGTGCCTAGCACTGTTCTTAGCCCCAGGGAAAAGCAACTAACAAAAGAAGCAGGTCCTTTCCTAGGTTTTATTTTTATTTGTTTGGATTTTTTAAACAAATCATCACTAGTAACCCAGGCTGGCCTTGTAGTCTGAATCCTCCTGCCTCGGTTTTCTAAGTGCAGGGATTCCAAGCATGTATTCTGCTCAGCTGTGTGTGTGTGTGTGTGTGTGTGTGTGTGTGTGTGTGTGTGTGTGTGTGTGAGGGTGCTGGATCTCCTGAACTAGTGTTACAGACAGAATTGAACTCAGGACCTCTGGAAGAGCAGCCAGTGCTCTTAACCTCTGAGCCATCTCTCCAGCCCACCTCCTGCATGATTTCTAACAGTGAAAGGAAAGAAGGGAAACAGAAAGTGCCAAAGTCACATTAGTATGTCAAGCAGTGGCATTTACTGGTGAGAACAATTAGCTTTTTCAATATTTTGCATATAAGAAAGGCAGCATGTAGGGCAACAGCCATGAATTTGCCTCTAGCCATGGTGCCTGGCATACCGTGAGCACCGAATGTTTGTTGAAGGAATAGAAAGTCTTCAGATATTTTAAGACCCAACTCATTTCCACGGCTCTCTTCTGCTGCTCTATCTTGAACCTTTTTCTTTTTTTCTTTTATAAAACTATTCTAATGCTGCTGCTGGATGTTGCATGTCTTTAATCCCAGCATTCAGGAGACAGAAACAGGTGGATCTCTGTGCCAGCCTGATCTCAGAGGGAGTTCCAGGACAGCCATGGCTGTTACACAGAGAAATCCTGTTTGGGGGGGGGGGAGACAACAACAACAAAAATTAAAAAAAAAAAACCTATTCGTAGGCGTTGGTGGCACACGTCTTTAATACCAGCACTCAGGAGGCAGAGGCAGGCAGATCTCTGTGAGTTCGAGGCCAGCCTGGTCTCCAGAGTGCCAGGATAGGCTCCAAAGCTACACAGAGAAACCCTGTCTCGGAAAAAAAAAAAAAAAAACTATTCTTATAATTTAGAACTCTAATAAAACAATAAAAAGTGAGCAACAAGACACAGTTAACAGGGTGAAGAAATGGCTCAGCAGTTGAGCCTCTCATAAGAGGAACTAGGTTTAGTTCCCTATCAACCACATGCTGCTGGCTCACAAGCATCTGTAACTACGGTTCCAGGGGACCCAACACTCCCTCCTGACCTCCTAGAGTACTGCATTCACATGGTGTACAGACATACGTGCAGCCAAAACACTTCATGCACATAAAATACTTAGTGAAAGGAAAGATAGAAGCCAGACTGCAGGATTGATGAAGTAGAATCATGTGATAGCCATAACTCAATAATGTTACAGAAGAATATTAATAGTGAAAATGTCCCCCGTGTTCGGCTAAATGAATAAAGTAGTTAATAATATGTATCGGGTTCCATTTAACATAGAAAAACATTGTACATTAGAAAAAAGGTCTAAATATAGAGACATCAAATGATGTCAATCAAACATCAACAGTGCTCGTTTTCTGAGCATGAGCACAGCTCGCTTCCTCACTCCTTTTTGCTCTCTCTGTCTCTCTCTCCTTCCTTTCTGCATTTTGATCAAAAACATATTAAGTGGGTAGTTTTTCATTCTCCTACAACAATACCACATCTAAACTTAAAGTATGTTCATTTCCTCCACACCCTTTTCAGTGTCTTAAACTGATGGTTTAGGACTTTGTTTTAAGGCAGCCTGTGAGGCAGGTGTGCTGGCACACACAATTAATTGAAGCAGTCAGTGGGCTAAGGCATGAAGACTATAAGCCTGAGGCCAGCCTAGGCTGCAAGACAAGTCCCCGTCTCAAAAATAAAACAAACCAAACCGCAGCCTTTGAGCTGGTGACTGTAGGAGGTATAAGAGTGGCCTGGGCCTTCATGTTCCTGAGGTTTCACTGAAAAGTTTCCCATTTCTGTTGACTGGTAGAATTTACCCCCTTCTGCCCTGGCTCCCTAATTTAGTCCAACCTGGTATATGTTCAGCTCATTACCTTATATGTATGACATATGCTCAGTCTAAAGATGTAAAATTTCCTCCCTACTTCCTTCCTAAGTACTGGGGTTAAAAGCATTCTCTGGAGAACCTTTTCTGCTCAGAACTAGGAATCTGGCTTATTCAGGAATGCTCATACCACAGAAGCCAATTTTGATTCCCCATGCTGAGCTGCAGAAATGAAACATCCCAGGTTTCATGTTCACCACAGAAGAATGTCCCTTCTATAAAAAGAAAGTAAATGTTCCCGCAGAGGGGACAGGCCAAGTGGAGGGGAAATTCACTGCAGCACTTCAAACTTGGGGTGGGATGAGGAGAGAGTGGAGGAGCCCTTGTCCCCAGAATGTCACTGTTTCAACAATCTTCTAAAGATCACGTGTTAGCAGAATGGCTATTAAAACCCCGATTAAAAGATAGAAAAGGGAGGGACATGAGAACCAGAGGCCCACACACAGAGGTGACCAAAGACTGGCAAGATCCACCCCCAGCCAAAGGTGTAGGCCCCACCCCTCCCCAGGGCTCCGCACCCTAGTTTGGGAATCCAGGCATGTCTCTACAGGGTGCCACTCCTCTACCTCTGCCTTAGAAACTGAGCCATTTTTTTTTTCCATCCAGACCTAACCAGCTGCCTTGCTAGTGACTTTGCTAGGGTTACTTCCTATTTTCTGGGCCTTAGTTTCTCCATCCACAAATTGAGCAGGTTGAACTAAATGGCAGTTGTTGACAGTGTCCATGAGTCAGGACCCATTATGTCACCTATCCAAGCATTCTCCTTGTAGGGATGAGGGCTCTCCCTACATTTGTCCAGACTGCCAGACATGATGACTGGACCAATCTCCTCCTAGATAGATTAGGTGGCCAATGTCCCTTCCTCTGCCCTAGGGAAATGCTGCACTTGCAGAATGTATCACTTTAAGTTCCTCTAATACCCAGTGTATTCATTTCCTGTGACTACGGTAACAGATGACCTCAAACTGGATGGCTTCAAACAACGCATACTTATTCTATTGTACTTCTGAAAGTCAGAGATTTCAGATGAGGCGCACAGAGCTATAAAATCAAGGTATTGGCTCCTTCTGAGGTTCTGGGGAGGACAATCAGTTCCTTGGCTCTCCTGGTTTCTAGAGGTCACAGGATAGGCTTAGGGCACATCACCCCATATGCTGTGTCCATCATTGTCCATATGGACCCCTACATCCCTCCTCTAAGGGCCTTTGGACAATACTGGGTCCACACATCTAATCTAATATAATCTTCCCTTCTCAAAAACCTTAATCATATATGCTAAGTGTCTTTTGATGTACACAATAACATACAGGTCTGGGGACTAGGGTGTTGGCATCTTTAAGGAGTTATTCTGCCTCCCACATCTGACATTCCCATGTACAGTCTTTGCCATTTCTACATATCATCTTTAAATTGACTCACCTGTCTAAAAAATGAACTTAAACCTACCTTTGCCTCATCCTAAACTGTCACATCAATGAAACCAAGGAACTGGCAACAATCATATCCCCTTGATTTGAGAAAAGAAATACATAACTGTCAAGATTGCAAATGTTCACCTCTGTACCAAATAAATCACTTCACATGCCACCAGTAGCACAGAGGCCACCCTTGAGGGGATATAAATAAGATCCGGCTTCCTGGTTTTACAGAAAAAGTTAGCATGTCTGAGAACACACACCAGCAAAACCTCAGGCATTCCCACAGCTTTTCCCTCCTGTCTCTGATCTTAGCAATCACAATTTGAAGGAACATCAGCTTTTCTGATGAGCATCCCAGTCATTCCGATAAGCCCTGGCTTTCTTTCCTTTTGTTAGCTCAGAGGTACTCAGACCTTTTATTCTCTTCCAAGAATGGGGTTTCCTATTGTCTCCCCTGACAACCTGTATCTGGGGATCTGACTTATCTGTGTTCAACAGTAGCCTGTTTACTTGACCCACATCTGGACAGCAGCCAGCTCCAAGGGAAGACTAAGCCAAAAGGGGGGTCAGTGGCCAGCGGTGACTTTGTACTGTGCCCCTTGGCATCTTTCCCAGCTACAGATTGAACTCTGAAACTACTTTTGAGAAGACAGAGTTCTTTCTATAAACAATATGGGATGACATAATTATCCTCATCTTACATAACACTCAGCATATAATAAAAATAACTATGGAATATTAGATACTTACTATGGGTCAGACCCTGTCAGGAACATCCGTTAGCACCAACCCTGTGAAGTGCGGATGAGTGTTCCCACTGTTACAGATGAGAAGACCTGGTGCCAGGGAGGTTAAGGCAACTTCTCCAGGATTACAGTTACTGTGACAAAGCTGATTTTCAGAGAACTTCAGAAATCCAAGAGGACAAGTGACATCACTGACATTGAGCAACCTGCCCAAGGACATAAAGTTAGCAGATTCAGCAAGGCTGAGGTATCACATGCCTTTAATCCCAGCACTCAGGAGGCAGAGGCAGGTGGATCTCTGTGAGTTTGAGGCCTTCCTGGTCTACAAAGTGATTTCTGGGAAAGGCTCTAAAACTACACGGTGAAACCCTGTCTCAAAGGGGAAAAAAAAAGAAAACAGCAGGCTCAGGGACAGACAGACCAGACCCTTTGTTCAGACTGCCTCTCTTTAGTTATGGCTTTTCTTTCTCTGTTTTGGTTGGTTTGGTTGGTTTGGTTTGGTTGGGCTTGGTTTGGTTTTTCGAAAGTTTATGTAGCCTTGGCTGGCCTGGAACTAGCTCTCGTAGACCAGGCTGGCCTCCAACTCACAGAGATCCTAATGCTTCTCCCTCCCAAGTGCTGGGATTAAAGGCATGTGCCACCACCAACACCTGGCTTGAAGCTATCTATTTGGTCACTTTCTTTTTTCTCTCTGTACATCATTCATTCCCTGAAGCTTTTGCCCTTTATCATTTCCATGCTAAAGGGAAGCTGTGGAGGTAGCAAAGGAGTCCTCAGACTGACCATTCTCTATGCTTCCCTCTGACACAGGAAAGAACATGAAACGTGCTAGAACTCCATGAATCTACATGCATTAATTTGGAATTAGTAATAAGTGTTTTTAAATATTTTTAGGTTTATTCACTTTATTTTCTGTGTATTTTGCCTGCATGTAAGTTTGTACATTGAATATGTGCTTGATGCCTGAGGAGGCCAGAAAATGGCATCAGATCCCCTGAAAATGGAATTACAGGTGTTTGTGAACCACCATGTAGGTGTTGGGAATCAAACTCAGGTCCTCTGCCAGAGCAACAAGAGCTCTTAATGGCTGAGCATCTTTCCAGCCCCTGAAATTAGTAGAAATTTAACCAAAAAGGGATTGAAAAATACCTCCAAAAATAGATTAAGCAGCTGCTTCATGGAAACATGATTGGGTGAAGTCATGAGAAAAGACACTTATTAATGAAAATCAGCTTAGACTGCAAGTCTGGGGGTGGGAGAGCTAGCTCAGCAGTCAGGAGAGCACACTGCTCTTGCAGAGGACCTGAACTCCGTTCTCAGCACCAAAGTCAAGCAGCTTACATGCCTGTGACTCCAGCTCCAGGCAACCTGACACCCTCTTCTAGACTCCAGGGCACCTGCACAGATTAGCACAAATCCACATACAGAAACATACATATACACATAATTTTTAAAAAAAAAAAAGAGTTGAAGAGAGGGCTCAGTGGCTATGAGTCCTTGCAGAGGACTCTCTCCAGCACCCACACTAGGTGGCTCACAACTACCTATAACTCCAGCTCTGGGGAATCCAACACCCTCTTCTGGGCTCCAGGGACACTGGCACACTCATGCTCAGACCCACACATAAACAGACTTAATAAGAAAATAAACGTTAAGCTGGGCATGCTGGCAAGCGTGTCTTTAATCCCAGCACTCAGGAGGCAGAGGCAGATGGATCTCTGTGACTTCAAAGGCATCCTGATCTACAAAGAGAATTCCAGGACAGCCAGGGGTGTTATATAGAGAAACCCTATCTCAAAAAATACAAGTAAATAAATAAAGAAAAGAAAAAGAAATAAACTTTAAAAATAAATAAATAAATCTTTTTTAAAAGGAGGTGAGTATCAGCTGGATGATGGTGGTGCATGCCATTAGTCCTAGCACTTGGGAGGCAGAGGCAGGCAGATCTCTATGAGTTCAAGGCCAGCCTGGCCTGATCTGCCAAGCAAGTTACAGGACAGCCAAGGGTACACAGAGAAACCCTGTCTCAAAAAACAAAAATAAAAAGTAGGTGAGTATCATCAATATGCAATCAGCTAGGCTAATCATATTTACATAAATAGGATACTGTACAGTCACTTGAAATGATGCCTCAGATGGTGGGTGATGATATGATTTAGCAAGTGAATGGCTCCACTTCTAATTTTATAACTAGAGAACTACAGAGAGAAAAGACTGGAAGGGCATAAGTGGTGAGAAGCTCTGGGAAAGCTATAATTTCCTTTTTGTGTTTGTATTTTCTGTTTTCTACAATGAGCCCATAATACTTTCATAATCTAAGGGATGAAAATGAATCAAACACTGTAGATGTATCACTAGGAGTTGATATTTTCTGAAGCCTGATCCCTGAGTCTGAACATACAAAAAAAGGAATATAGCTCTATGCTGGAGACCTTGCCTAGCATTTGGGAGGTTCCAGGTTCAATCCCAAGAGGGGGAGAGGAGGGGGAAGAGAAGGAAAGTAAGAGAAAAGAAATAGGAATGAAAGAAAAGAAAATACAGAAAATAGATCAATCATAATCTCTTTCCACAGCTGGCTCTGCAATCTAACAATTATCCTAACTTAGTGGATATAAATAAATAGGTGATCATGAAGGAAATATAAATGGTCAATAAACACCTCCTGAGTGCTGAGGACTGCCTTGATCTCAAGGCCAGCCTGCATAATAGAGTGAGCTCCAACCAAATCTCGGTATGAAGACCTGTCTCATAAACAGATAAATACAGCTAGTACCAGCTTAGTGGTATACTACTTGCCTAGCATGAGCAAGACTCTGGGTTTTTGCTGGACCTAGTATCGAACACCTTTGATCTCAGTACTCAAGAGACAGAAGAAAAACTTCTATGCGTTCAAGGCCAGCCTGCTCTATTTAAAAAGTTCCAGAACATCCAGAGCTACCTAGAGAGAGCCTTCTCAAAAACAAAACAAAATACACCCCCCAAAAAAAAAAGCCAAAAGGATATGTCCACACATGATGCTGCAAGCCTGAAAGTGTGTGAAGGAGTGAAAGCCAGCAACAGTCAGGAAGCTGAAAGCTAGATGCCAACCAGAGCAAGTTGTGCCATGCCTCTGAACTCCAGAAAGGCTCCTGAGTTAGGGTTTCTAGCTGCTTCAGAACGCAAGAGGAATGGGAAAACAGGAAGATGTATTGGAGGTAGTGCATTTACAGGGCATTTAGAGCAGTGGTTCTCCACCTTCCTAATGCCCAGATCCTTTAATACAGTTCCTCATGCTGTGATGACCCCAAACCATAAAACTATTTCCCTTACTACTTCATGACTCTAATTTTGCTGTGATTAATCATAATATAAATGTTTGTATGTTCTGATGGCCTTAGGCGACCCCTGCAAAAGGGTCATGACCCACAGGTTGAGAACCACCAATTTAGATACAGACTTCACAGTCTAGGTAGCAGGCAAACCAAAGCATTTGCCTCACCCCTGCCCAACAGCAGAAGGTGAGAAGACCCAGAAGAAGTTAGATTACTTCACCACAAAAAAGGAGGTTCAGGGAGAAAGGACACCTCCAAGGCCATGATGTCTCAGCCCCTGCCTTGGGTGACCCCGCAAAATGCTGGCAACCTCTCTTACACCCTCCATGCAGGTGGCCAGAGAATCTTTTTTTTTTTTTTTTTTTTTTTTTTTTTAAAAAGGATTTACTTGGGCCTCACAGTTGGAGGGTACAGTCCATGCTGGCGAGGAAGGGATGGCGGCAGCAGCATGAGGCAGCTGAAGGGAATTCTTCAGTGGGTCTCCTGACCACACAGCCTCATCCAGATATGAGCACACTACACACAGGCCAGGCCCAATAGCTGGAAAGTACACACACACACACACACACACACACACACACACGATTACTAAATAAAGAAAAACCTGAGGCAACTATCAATTCCAGGAGCAAAAAGTAAAACAAAAAAGGAACATTATCACCATTATCTGTGTTGTAACTAAAAAAAAAAAAAAAAAAAAAAGGCAGCCCAAGAGAGAAAGATGAGATGCCACAGAGTTCAATGGAGGGAAAGGGACCATTAAAGGGAAAGGGGTGGGGAAACCAGCCTCTGGGGAGCAAGCAAAGAGAAGCAGAAAGGGAGAGAGAGAAAGAGAGGAGGATGGGAGATAGACAGGGTCCTTTTTAAGGGAACATAGTGAATATGCACAGGTGGTGCTCTTAGTAGCTGCAGCTGAGGGTGTGTCTGGTCAGGACCCCAAGGGCAGGCCAGTACGGATTCCTGAATACTAACAATCACCATCCTCACAGTTGAGAGTACAGCAGCAACGTAAACAAATTATCTTATTGGGAGGATGGAAACAATAATATGGGTAGCTGATAAATGACTTCTGTACCCTTGCCTTTTATTAACAGAAAACTAAAAAATAGCCACATAGGCCAGATGTGGTAGCACATGCCTTTAATCCCAGCACAGAGACAGAGGAATATCCGTGAGTTTGAGATCAGCCTGGTCTACATAGCAAGTTCCAGACCATCCAGGACTATGCAGTGAAGCTGTGTCTAAGAAAGGAAGGAGGGAAGGAAGGAAGGAAGGAAGGAAAGAAGGAAGGAAGGAAGGAAGGAAGGAAGGAAGGAAGGAAGGAGCAGAAAAGGAAAGGAGAGAAGGAGGGAAGTTACAGGACAGTAAATAGAATTCAACATTAAAAATTGTACTGAAAGTATGTCAATTGGGTGTGATGGCTCATGCCTATACTCCTAGCTCTGGTGTGTGTAGCCAGGAAAACAGGAGTTCAAGGTCATCCTCAGCTATACAGTGAGTTCCAGCTGGCCTATGCTACATAAAAATCTGTCTCTGAAACAAAATGTGTATGTTGAAGCCAGGTGAGAGTGCTGAAAGTGGGTGCGGCGGTGCACACCTAGAAACCTTGCACTCAGAAGTCAGAGGCGGGAAAATCGAGACAGATTCAAGGCCAACCTGTTCTGCATAGAAAATTCTAGATCAAACAAGACTTTATAGACTTGAGACCCTGAATCAAATGGGGGCTGGGGACCTGGAGATGGCTAAATGGTTAAGAGCACTTGCTGATCTTGCAGAGAACTGGCTTTGGTTCCCAGAATCCACATGGAGGATCGATCACACTGTCTTTTAACTCCAGTTACAGGGTGTCTGGCTTCTAAGGGCACCCACAGTTGTGTGCACATACCCACGCACAGACATACACATAAAAATAGATAAATTTTAAGTTTATATGTCAAAGTGCTCATATTTAGGTGTTTACTTATGCAAAGATTTTCAGTGTACTGAACTGTACTGTTTTGATATTTACCAAGTAAAACATTATCATGAAAAAGTATGTCTAGTTTTCTTTAGAAAATGAAATAAAGATAGCCCCAAGCCTTGAAAAATACAACCTTACAATCTAGGAAACATTTTCACAACCATTTTTCTATAAGCTCTACACAAATCTAAACAAAATAAAGATACTTTGCCATCTGTAGACAAGAAAACAGATTGAAAGAAGCAACTATCCCATAAGCAGTTAAGCAGTTTAGAAGTACACAATATCTCAACACAAGCCCCTCACTTGTTCAGTCCAGCATGACACCAGAGCCTCACCCTGATTGTGTCTTCATCAGCTCCAGGTAAACCTGTCTGAACCCAAAGAGCTGCCCAGCCCCTGAAGAAATGCTAGCAGGCAGCCCAGGAAACAGAAACCAAATCAAGGTAATCAGAATCCAGAAGATGGAAGATACTGTGCTTTCAGAAAAATTCACTGTAGCAAACTCCCAGTGTCACCTGCCACTAGGGACATAATGACTTTACAAACTAACTTCAGCCTTTGACCACCATATGGGCAGAAAGAATCCTCAGACTCCAGAAGCCTCCACTCTGCTCTCTCTCGGGGTAGGCCCAGGCTCCCACCCATTCGCTTCCCCTCACCCCAACTCCCCAAAGTCACATCACAAGGCACCTGGTCGCAGGTCCTCAGCTGATCTGGTTCACAGCAGCACGTGGGGGCCACCCGGGGACCAGCTGGAACAAAACAGAAGTCAACAGGAAGAATGAGACTCAATCATGCCTAACAAGAGAGACTCTGGGACAGGAAGTGGGTTTGAGCCAGGAAGGCTGGGGCCTGCTGTCAAGAAGTGAGGTAACCCTGCCAGCCTTGTTACTCAGCTAGAGTTGAGCAAGACCTCAGAGCTTGGGAAAGGGAGTAAAATGCCAGTCATAGCTTCGCAGTCAGAGCTTCAGGGCTCCCCAGCTCTACTGCATGTGTGCGAGCAGCTGGTTGTCTTCTCCCCCACTTTCTTGTCTCTGTCCCTGAATTTGGGAGGGGAGAGTCAACTGAAGGAACGGCTGTCAGTGCTTTTATCTCTATGCCAGTGCAATGCTGAGCCCGGTGAAGCACATAGTATACTATGTGAGAGCTCAAATTAGGTAGGGCTGGGTGTGGCTCAATGGTAGACCACTTGCCTAACCTGTGTAGGGCCCTGGGTTCTGTGCTCACTACTGAAAATCAAAGCAAACCACAGAGAGAGGAGAGGAGAGGAGACAATCTTTAAAGTCAGGTAGCTTAGACTTTGCATTGCTAAGTCTCATGTTCCTCCCTCCCTCCCATGAATTGCAGGTAATACCAGTACCGACGCCTGGTGTTGTGACTTAAATGGGATAATGTGTATAACTGGCACCATATAAGTCCCAAGATCCAGTGAGTCCCTTGGGCTGTCAGTATTGTCCCTTCTCTGCCTTTCCAAGGCTGGTCCATTCTCTAAGCTTTTATCGGATCACGTGGGCCCATCCACGTCACTTGACTCCACAGTGACTCCGTGCCAATTAGTCTTACGAAATAGAACAGGAACCACTGATAAGAGTGGGCTCTGATAACATAGTCAAGTTACTGGCTGGTTATGTTTAGCCTATAAATGTCCATCTAATGAAAAACAAACAATGCCCTATCAGCAGTTAAGGACACAAAACAAGCCGCTTCACTGAAAAGTCCTTTCCCATGAGGGTGTCTTACTTCCCAAAGTTACCCAAGGAAAGCAGGAGCTGTGCATATTCGCCTCTCTGTGCCTAGGAGGAGCCAGCAAGTACCGGAAGTCAGTCTATACAAATCCGTGGATCGTGTCCATCCGATGGAAACATTGCCCCTGTTTAAAGCTGTTTTTGGTCAACCCAGCCCAGGCCTACTGCATGAGAACCGGCCCCAATATAACATGGTTCCACAGACAGGTAGTCAGACTCTAGAATTACACAGAGAGCAATTTATTGTAGGACTTGCTAAGGGAAGTGTAGTCTTGAGTGGCAGTAAAACAGATGATAGCCCACAACCTGGGTCAGAGAGAGGAGTGCACTTATGGGTTGGGACAAAAGTGACTTCACCATGGCTGGACTGTACCCAGTTTATCTTAATATCAAAGAGTCGGATGCATTCCTGGGGTCAGGGTCTGGTTGTACAAAGCCCCATATTTGACTCTAATTATTTTTATCTATTTGTGGTTTGTTGGGAGACTATACAGGAAAAACCAGCTGGGATTACTCAGGGGCAATCGTGGTGGCTATGACTCAAGATGGCTGTGGTCACGTCAAACCAGACCCATACAAAAGCACATAGACAAGATACCTGAGCTGAGGAATCCATCCTAGTGGGGCTAGGGTTTTGTAGGTTAGGGCAAAGCTTTACATGAAGGCAAGGCCAAAGCCACTCTGGTATACCTTAAAAGCTGTTCTCACGATCCTCCAAAAGCTCTGAAAGGAGTGAAAAAGGTGTGTCCTATCCGGGTTTTTGTGGTGGCACACACCTTTAATTCCAGAACTTGGGAGACAGAGGCAGGTGGATCTGAGGATCTGATTTTGAGGCCAGTCTGGTCTACAGAGCAAGTTCCATGACAGCCAGAGCTACACAGAGAATCTGTGCCATAAGAAGGAGAAGGAGGAAGAAAGAGGAGGAAGAGAAGGAAGAGAAGGAAGAGAAGGAGGAGGAGGAGGAATAGGAGGAGGAAGAAGAAGAAGAAAAGAAGAAGAAGAAGAAGAAGAAGAAGAAGAAGAAGAAGAAGAAGAAGAAGAAAAAGAAGAAGTGTATGCCAAAAGCTGCCAAGCTGCCTGAAGGCCTCCTGCCACTCACTCATCCACCCCCAGATGAAACCTGCTAAGCCTGCTAAATCCAACACCCCCTCAAGTCAGGTTTGCTGACCAAGAGACCTGGCCCCTGGCTCTCTGCCCTCATCTCCCTGACCCCCCTTCTTCTCAGATGATGCCTGTCCTGACAGCTGAGATGGGTCCTGTTTGATAATGACCTTCCCCTCACTTTCTGCAATGGACCTTGCCACCAGAACTGCTCACCTGGATCCAATTCTCCAAGCTTTGTCGAAGTTTACTATGCACTAGGCATTGTACTAAAGGCTTTTTATTGTTTCGTTTTTCTAGTTTTTTTTTTTTAACCCGTCCTGATTTAATGTCAAGAAACTTCATAAGACAGAGGTTGTTCCTATGACAGATCTAGAAACTGAGACCCAACATGTTCACAAAAGTTGCCCAAGCTCACACACAGTTATTGGATCCAGAGTAACAGTTTGTATGCATCTATGAAATTGTGTGGAGCTAGAGAGATGGCTCAGCAGTTAAGAGCACTTGCTGTTTTCCAAAAGACTGCGGTTCAGTTTCCAGCACCCAAATTGGTGCTATACCTGTATCTTCTCAGCCCTCTGTATCTTTAGCTCAAGCCTCTGTGGCCTCTGAAGGTGTGTGTGTGTGTGTGTGTGTGTGTGTGTGTGTGTGTGTGTGTGTGTGTGTGTGTGTGTGTGTTTGAGCACACACACAATAAATAAATAAATAGAGCTATGCTTGCTCTGGTACACTGTAAAGTCTTTCCCTCTCTATTGACTCCTGTGTCACAGAGACGGGACATTGCACAGTAAGCACATACTAAACTCAGACCTTCTGAGCATGAGTCATCACCAAAAAGGGAATTTGTTAGAAGAGCAGAATTAGGCCCCACCCTACAGATATGGACGCAGAATTTACATTGTCTGGGGAAAACCAGGCACTCTGCATGCTCTTCAAAGAGAGACCACATAGGCACACACTGAATTGACGGGTGGTACTGTACAGGCATCCAAAAGCTAAGCAAGCATAGGAAAACAAACCCCTAAACGTCACAGGGCTCTTTTATTTTGTTCTGTTTTCGAGACAGCGTTTCTCTGTAGCTTTGGAGCCAGTCCTGGGACTTGCTCTGAAGACCACGCTGGCCTCGAACTCACAAATATCCGCCTACCGCTGCCTCCCCAGTGCTGAGATTAAAGGCGTGCACCACCACTGATCGGCTCACGGCGATCTTGATTTTGAGAATTTCACCCCTGGATGAAGAACAATGTCAAAAGCTAGAACTAGGAAGCTCTCCACACCCGTTTCAATTTCCACCTTCTGGGTATGCCAGCAGACCTTGAACAAGGGTGGAACTCTGAACAGCAATGGGATGTCTTTAGAGCGCCACCTGCTGGTTCCAGTCACTCTTTTCTGCAGGGTGTCCCCTCCCAGCAGCTCTGTCCCTGAACCTTCTGTATATGGAATCCTTAGGCTCTTAGGCTCCAGATTTACTTATGCTCCCTGAACATTCACCATTCCTTTTTCCAGTGACTCTCTAAATAACAACAGTGCACCACTCCACATTTGCTTCCTGCGCCTTCTCAATTTGGTCCAGTTCATCAGGCCTCGATACTAGCACAGAAAGCATTAAGACTTCCGGAAGACACTCTTCCGACTAGGGTCAAATAAACATACCTCACCCTTCGTGTTCCAACTAAGAATAAAAGCATAAAGATTCAATTGGTCCCAACAATCAAACATTTTTATCATTCACATGGACCTACCGCTAGTTACCATCTAAGAGCCTGGCAAGGCGGCGCACATCTTTAATCCCAGCGCTTGTGAGGCAGAGACAGCAGGATCTCAATGAGTTCCAGGCCAATCCAGCACCTTCTTCTGACCTCCCAGGGCACCAGGCACACAAAGTGGGGCACATACATGCATGCAGGCAGAACATGCAGACACATAAAATACGTGTTTCTAAATTTTAAGCCAGGCATGGTGGTGTACTCTTTAGTCCCACTATTCAGGCAAGCAGAGATAGGCAGATCTTCCTGGTCTACCTATCCAGTTCCAGGGTAGCCAGAGCTACATAGGAAGATCGACCATGTCTCAAATATGTTTTTAATTTTTATTTAATTTACTTCTGTCTTTGATAATAATTAGAACTTTAAATATTTTTTTCATTTCCCCATCAACTTAATTGCACATTCTTTTGTTAGTCTTTTAATAGTTGCCTTGGAGATTACATTCATCCTTAAATTATTGGTCTACTATAACTAATATTTTACCATTCCTCAGACAATATAAAGCTTTGTTGTTTAAGTAAAATTGTTCCTCTCTTGCCTTTCAGCTGTTGTCAATTCTTCATACAGAAACATATATATTTAAGACAGGAGCTCACTCATTTCCTCTGGCTGGCCTCGAACTCACAGAAATCTGCCTGCCTCTATCTCCCAACTGCTTGGATTAAAGGTGTGGACCACCACTGCCCAACTTGGGTAAACGATTTTAAAAATCCAAATATATATGATGAATTAGGGCCAAGTGTGATGGTGTGTGCCTTTAATCCCAGCACTCGGGAGGCAGAGGCAGGCAGATCTCTGTGAGTTTGAGGCCAGCCTGATCTCCAGAGCGAGTGCCAGGATAGGCTCCAAAGCTACACAGAGAAACCCTGTCTTGAAAAACCAAAGAAAAAAAAAAAGAGTGCTTTTCCTGAGTTGGATCATAGTGACACAGACTTGTCATCCTAACACTTGGGAGGTGGAAACAGAAGGACCAGGAGTTCAAGGTTGCCCTTGACTAAACAGTCTGTCTGTAATTTATCTTGAAAATGAGTTGCTAGGGTTCTTACTGTACGTACTTCTATTTTTTAATTTATTTGTTTCCATTTTATGTGCATTGGTGTTTTGCCTGGAGGTATGTTTGTGTGAGGGTGTCAGATCTTGGAGTTGCAGGCAGATTGAGCTGCCATGTGGGTGCTGGGAGTTGAACCCAGCACTGTCCTCTGGAAAACA